AAAGTTTTCCAGGATTACACTAATATCTTCTTCCTGATGCGGCAAAACTCTGCTGGAAAAATGCAATGCAAAGATATACTTGCATCTCTTACATTTTATTCTACTCACAACCACTAAGTTTACTTTACAAAAATGACTAGTTGTATTACTTAAAAAAAAAGGACAGACAAACACACGAATGATCCTGTAAGGGTTCCTTTTTTCATTCGGACGTAAGGAACCCTAAAAATGGAAATTAAATTCCTAACGTCTGAAAATATTAACTCATTTTCTGTTACCTACAAATTATGCCACCAACTACTTTCTTTTATAGGTAACTACATCTATTTATTTTAGGTTTGGGCATCTACGAAAAACTCACAATTAGTTTGAACTTAATGAAAATGTCAAAGGATTCATGACACCTTTGTGAACACCTACAGCTGAGTCCGTCCAAATTCGATTGACGATAGTGAATAGCATTTTAATTTAGGCGACATTTTCACGATGTAAACGCAACCCAATATACACCCGAATGGAGATATTTAGACCCAGTCATTTTTCTCATTGGTTTTTTTCAATTTAAAAATACGTAAAATTGAAAATGCTTATAAAAAAAGTACGTACTTTTTTTGTTTTTTTTTTACTTTTAAAGGAAGAACTTACTGACCACCTAAGAATTTTCTTGGTGATCGTGAGTCAAAGGCACTAATAAAGTAGTTAATGAAAGTGGGTGAGAATTACGTGTTAGACAGGCACGTTCAATGAAACAAAAGCAGTAATTGTCGTTTGTTTAATAAGTCGTTCAAAAGACCACTTTAATCGAATTAATTCAGCTACGGTTGAAGACCTGAAGAAAACTGTCAAGAACAATTTGTCAGTTAATGAATTGGTAATTGTTTCGTTGCTGTAGACAAACAGAAGTAGAAATAAGAATCGTTTTAAAACTAAAAATAAAAGTACTTTTATCCTTAAATAGAGAAGCCTTTTTCTGAGCTCTACTTATAATTTTCTTTTTTTAGCTTTTGAGCAAATATAGTAACAATAAGCGAGTATCGTATCAAGTTGATTAAAAATTACAAGAAGCTTCTTCATTGGTTTTCTCATGATGGGAATTGAATTTAGGCAACTTATTAACTCGGCCTTTTGTGTCTACCAACGCCACAAAAAAATCCCCAATCTTATTAGGTACAAGATCAAAGAAAAAGCCAAAACACGAACCTGGAAAATTGGAAGCACTTTTCTTTGTAGTAAAAATTAATTTATCATGACGCTAATGGCAAATTATTCTCCACTAATTATTTTGATTCGGACCGAGAGCGAATAACTCACGCGTACACTCAAATACATTTCAATCTAGTAGAGTAATCATTGTTTGGTTATTGTTTTGGATAATACAATATTGCCATAACGGAAACCTATCAAACGTGAATTTATAGGTCTAACTACCGTGCATGTTTCTGATTAGTCGGTTTGTCATTTTGGGCCATTTGATCGGAAAAAAATCATTCCGAACACAAATTCTGCAACGCTTATGGCCCGTATGATTTTGCAGTTGTTTGATGCCACATAAAAGGACATGCATACATATACAGTACATACAACAATCCTTTGTAATCATTCAATTGATGGTATTTGCTCTTTTGCATCGCAGAACATCCCATTCATCAGTTAGCAATTTCGACAGGAACAATAACTGCAAAGACACTGAACAACACCCAAAAAAGACAAAAAACAGAAGACTGTCAAGTACAAATATGTGTCCATTGTCTTCCAAAGTTTTAGTTTTCCCTGACTCTTTTGGTACAATTCGGCAGTTGTTGAGACATTTAAAAGATTTTTTAAGATTAATTTGAATACATTAAAGTGAATTAATTGTTACCACTACAAATAACTTCAAATTAATGAAAAAAAAATTGGTTCTACTGTTACGTCCTCGCCGGGAGTCGAACTCGGGTCCCTAGCTAAGCTGCAAGGAGTAGCAGCAGCAACAACAAAGATTCTGCGACCTACGTACAGTCTATTTCAATTTGTTAGAATTGTGACCTTGAAGAAATCTGCGCGAAGATAGAAAGAATACACACTAGGAGTGAGCAAGACAGAAATAGTTGGAACAAGCTTGAACGAGCAGAGCTCTCGATGGGCGGGCTTAGGAGGTCGGCTAGAAATGTACAGTACTAGACGAAAATGTTTAGCAATTTCTTAAAACAAAAATGTATATAAATTAACAATAGAAAACAAAGCAAAAGTTTTATAGGTGTATAGAGTGTTAAGTTACTTCACTTGTAATATTTTTTGGCTAAATATGTTTTTAAATGAAGCATATTCTTAAATTTTAACGAGACGGTTTAAATAATTTTGCAAATGGTACTGTACACTTTTGTGTAGTTCTCGCTCGATGATCGGTGGAGAAATGAGCTCCGCAGACAAATATGATTGAATTTGGAATTATGCTACGGCGCATCCTAATAACAGGAAGGGGCATATCTCTAACTTCTTGAAACGAACAGTAGTTAGGTACATATCATTGTGGTAAAAATGAAGTTAAAAATTAATTCACATTAATATATTGAACCATGCAGTTACTGACTTACTATCTAGATTTTTTTTCTCAATTTCCTTTACTTAACTTCATCCATAATAAAAACCTTACCAGCGCTTATTATTCTTATCATGCGTTACACCTTGGACTGTATCTTTCAATTTAATTTCGAAACAGCAAAACAATTGAAATGAACGCTTTACCGAAATGCGTTAATAATTAGGCAGTTCATAAGCTGCTGCAATATGTATGGCTAATTAAAACCGGCTACATAAATATCGAATTATTACATTCACCTGGAACAATATCGGAATACTAAGAGACTAATATCCATTATTATTGTCCACATAAACTTTATTAAAGCCCCAGCAGTTAGAAAATTAATTTTACAGATTTGTGAAATTGGCTGGGGCACGATTCGCCCCCATCGAATTGGGTCCACTTAATTTCCACGCCACAATGCTGCTCGGGTTTCGATTCTTATTAAATATGACCGACATGGGCGTCTCGTGCTATAGAAGCAATTATATTTCGTTAAAAGCCTTTCGGTGGTGGAATAGAGAAAACGATGCAAATTTCCTGAAAGCCAAGGCTGCCACCTCATCAGTAGCACGGTGGGAAAGTACCGTGTTAGAATTTTAATCAGTACATTTCGATAAAAAAGACAGAATGAAATAACGTTGGAAAATAGCAGGCATATGCAACCAATTTTACACCTGAATAGAGATATCGGGTTGTTCGGAAAGTCATTTCGTTTTTTCCCGACAGAGGATTTAATTGTATTCTTTTGCACCCAACTTCACATTTAAGCCGTATAATTTTTATACGCTTTGAGAGCTCATATAGCAAGGCTTGTGTGTGAAAAATTCCAATTAATTCTACGCAGTAGTTTTTGGTTGGTGCCCTTTTAAGTATGGAGAGCGATAAGCAGCATTTTCGACATATCTGACTGTTTTACTACAGAAAGGGTAAAAATGCTGTTAAAGCCAGAAAGAAATTGACTTGATGTCGAAGATGCACCACGTTCGGGAAGGCCGGTTGAAGCTGATAAAGACGCGATAAAGGCATTAGTTGATGTGAACCGGCGAATAACAACATGTGAGATCGGATTGAGGTTAAATTTATCAAATTCAACAGTTTATGACCACTTGAAAGGCCTGGGATTATCCTCGAAGCTCGATGTATGGGTTCCCCATGTTCTCACAGAGTGTCGCCGCATTGACGTCTGCGATTCGCTTCTCAAACGTGACGAAAATGATCCGTTTTTGAAGCGCATCATCACTGGGGACGAAAAATGGGTTGTATACAACAACGTCAAACGCAAGAGGTCATGGAGCAAAAAAGATGAACCGGCTCAAACCATTTCCAAAGCCGATATTCACCAAAAAAAAGTGATGCTGTCTGTTTGGTGGGATTTTAAAGGAATCGTTTTTTTTTGAGCTTTTACCGGATAACACAACGATTAATTCGGAAGTCTACTGTCATCAGCTGGACAAACTGAATGATGCACTTCAACAGAAAAGGTCAGAACTAATCAACAAGAAAGGTGTAGTGTTTCACCAAGACAACGCGAGACCTCACACAAGTTTGGTCACTCGCCAAAAGCTTTTACAGCCTGAATGGGATACAATGCTACACCCACCATATTCTCCAGACCTGGCACCATCGGATTATTATTTTTTCCGGTCACTCCAAAATTTTTTAAACGGTAAAACCTTCACCTCAAATGAGGAGGTCAAAAACCTCCTCGATCAATTTTTTGCCAGCAAAGACCAAAAATTTTATGAGCGTGGAATTATGCTACTACCAGAAAGATGGCAAAAGGTGTTGGACCAGAACGGTCAATATATAATTTAATAAAGTATTTGTTTATTATACGAAAACTGTCTTTCATTTCCACAAAAAAAAACGAAATGACTTTCCGAACAACCCTATATTTAAACCCATCCACGTTTTCTCTTGTTTTTACGTCAAAGTGCTAATTTTTAATTAAAGAGATATTACGTAAACGAAGTAGCGTTGGAAAATAACAAAAGCAATCACAAGAAAAACTGTTTGAAACAAAAAATTATTTTATCTGATTTGAATTCAACAATAAAAACTACCTGGAGTAGGATCGTTTTGGTAGTTTTCGTATTTACTGTACATATTGATAGAAATGATGTTATAATATAGATAATTAAATAAACTAAATTTTTGAATTTCTCAAAAATGGTGAAGGCGCCGGACATTCCTTTTTCTAACTTCAATTTACCACAATTTCGGTTAGTAATTACGACTAAATATCTTAGTGATGTATCTATATGCAGTCCACAACATTTCTAGAAAAGTTTCGTGGACTTCTTTACAGACAACTCGTTCGTTCTCATGGATTTTCTTTCGGTTTCAAGTGAAAAATTGAATTCCCTTTTTAACGAATAAATTTTATCTACTTCTGCAGACGGTTATTATGATTCACATAACACAACAGTGTCCTTACGTGAAAAAGGAGAACATTTTCGTTACGTTTGCGATGGAAGAGCTCGTTATAGCTGACACCAACACATTTTCTTTTCACGAGCAAGCAAGCTCGCGTAGTTGCGGCGTGAACAGTCGTTGTGAATGATGCAGATAGCAACAGGCTTTCCCAGTAAAGGCATGGAAAACCACTTATTAACATTAGCTGGTCTTTTTCTGTTTTTTTTTTGCGTCGGTCGCATCGCGTTTTCAAAATTCAATTAATTAAGTAGAGGACGACTGTATCTATTAATGCACGCGACATGTATAGCGACAATGGCAGAGGGAAACATCCCCTTTTCCTTTCACAGCTGTAGTAGATAGGTGCGATTTACCGATAATCATTTCATTAGCGAAAGAGTTTGATATGAGATAAGAGACAACACAAAAGATCCGGAAAAGACATTACTTAGCAAAAGAAAAATTAATAGGTACGTTTTAGTTTCGTTGAAGAAGATAAACATTAGCGCCACGAAAGTTATTTTCTAGTTGCACTTAACAATAATTTGTCTAAACGATAACACTTATCGATAGCGATTGTTGATCGCGATTTCAAGCTTGTTAGTTGTTGTTGTGATCGGTATAAGATAGGTGGATTTTTTTAATCATTAATCATACTGATTCATGTATTAAGCAAGTTCTTGAGCATCAAGCGCCATCTATAAATATACAGTACTAATTACCTGTTTTGCAAGATCTCAATTTAAGCTTGATGTTTAATATCATGTTAAGTGGCAGTATTTTCTATCTATAGATAACTATTTATAACTGCTGCATTTCTTATTGGTTGACATGGCCCTACAAAGGTCATGTACTAGCCAAATTGAATAAAATACTACAATTTTCACTGCGCGAAAGGATCAACCACAGATTTTCGTGGTTTCTTAATTTTTATTGTTGTTATTTCAGTAATTCACCCGCTCATATTAGCCCTGACCAAACCTTCCACCGGGGTTGGTTACCCGATCTCCAGTTTAGTTACTCAGGTTACCGGAGTTAGCCAACGTGGAGGCCAGAGTCGGATTTGAGTAGGAGAGGCTGAGTGATTGTAACGGGAAACCCAATCATATATTAGACGCATCACTACTCCTTTTAACTCCTTGTTATCAAAATCTGAAAATCACGGGTTTTCTTTGTAATATCTTGTAAAATTCGTCTAAAATATTACATTGCCTGGATCATCATCATCTGTAAAAAGGGCTGCCCATAAATTACGTAACATTAATTGGAAAAAGGGGAGAATCCATCCGATGGGAGGAAGTTATGGTTCGCATTACAAGACATTTAAGAATTAATTTAAAATTGAATTATTATTGTAAATTAAAAAACATTTTTTTTATTGAATCCTAAAACAGTTACGTAGTTTATGTGCACCCTTTTAGTACATTTACCTGAAACAAAAAACAAATACAACTAATTTTGCAAAATAATATAAATTTTCATTGGTTCAATAGGATGTTAGAAGTGTCATAAGAAAGATAACAAAAATTATTTTGCAATTAAATTTAGTTGCAAGGATTTTTAAACTGGATTATAAAGTATTACTTAATTTTTGTTACGAACAAAATATTATATTAAGTAATTTAAGTCATACACGTAAAAGAAAAGAAAGTAATACAAATTTGTTAAATAATTTTAAAGCATCATCTACACCTTTAATTTGTACAAAGTTTACCCTAAAAAAAGCTTTGCTACAACCCATATCCGTTCTTGGAATAGTCTCTTACATGAATATACATATTGTTTAGAAATTCATACAGATACATGACATTTAAATGGAGAGCGTGGCTCGCAATATAAAATACATTGAGGGTATGATTCAATTTATTAGAGGGTCTCAAAGTTTCAAAGGTAAGAATGCTTTGACTGGGAACTATACGGTAATGGAATAGATTAGATTTAGCTCGTGATCGATGCCAAGTAGACCCAGGGTATGCGGAATAGTAATTCAATAAATAAAATTAGGGGAGTCTGACGTGTAATAATAATATTAATACATATACTGCCAAAAATCATGTATTCCACGATTATTTCCTTCACATCTTAGGGATAAAACAATGACTAATTTTTGATTCAATTCTACGTCGATATTTCTTCGAAATTAATGCCGTCTTTCTTTGTTCTGTTGTTGATTAGTAGAAAAAAGTTTCGAATTCAACGGCCTATTTCCTTCAAATTCGTTATTATTCACTTTCTTTGGCCCCAGTACCTATTATGTATTTAAATTAGTCTATTTTTAACAGCGAAAGCCAAATTTATTCTATCAGCCTATCTTCTGAAACTCGTTTTTTTTGTAGCTAATTGTAGTATTTCATTGAGTTTGGCTAGTACGTGACCTTTGTAGAGCCCAGAGATATGCAAAACGGTTTTTTAAAAGTATTTAAATACAAAGTGGAAATACTTTTTTGGTTTGTTATTTCAAATGTAAAATACAAAATAGATTATCCTTTTGTATTTTAAATGGTAAATGTAAAATACGTATTTTCAAAATACTTTTTTGTAGTACCTATTTAATTTTCTACTTTCACTTAAGTGTAAAATATTTTTTAAGAAAACCTTGCAGGCATTTTCTCATTTTTTAAATATTAGAGTTTTTCTAGACTAATAGTAATGTTTGCATTATATCACCAGCTGTGGAGATTGAGTATGCTTCATATTTTTTTCTTTGAAGTGATTGAGATATAGTTTTTATATCTTTATGTTATAGTTTCTTCAGTTCAGGAACAAATAATTCTTCTGCTTCCTTATTTACCTTTGTGTTATAGTATATTTAGCGTGAAAGATCAGAGCCAAAATAGGGTTGCAAATAATTTTATTGATGTAAAATCAATATCAATCATTTTATATCAAAATATTTGCAACCCCATTTTGTTTCCGATATTTTATACATTGTAATTAGAGAAAGACATGGAATCCATACTTTCATTAGTTTTGGCATCTTCTAATAAGTGAAGTTTTTCGAATCGTTTTCTAAGAATTTTGGATTATAGGCATTTATTAGCACACCACAATATCAAGAATTCAATATTCATAGAATTTTGTAGTTAATCGTCAAAGGTACGATAAGTGGTGATTTGGCAGGTGCTGATATCAATTTGGAACTTTAAAATTCCATGGACCATGACTTAGACCCTGGAAAACAATATCGATCCACTATTTCAGATTATCCATTTCCAATGAGTTTAGAATTTTTCGGGCTCTCTTCAGTTAAAGAATTAGAAGACATTAATGTCCCTTTTTTGAGCTTCTAATATCTTCAATGACCAATGTGACCAACATTCATTAATTATTTTATATAATGTTTGATCGACGATAGTAGCAAAAATGTATTTTGCATTTCACAAGTATAAAATACATTTGGAAAAGTATTTTAATTAAAATACAAATGTTTTTCTCGAAAAATTATTTAAATGCAAGATAAAAATATGTATTTTTTATTTTGTATTTGCATATTAAATGCAAGTATTTCAAATAAATCACATCTCTGTCCTTTTGCAACCGAGTTCTAGTATTAGTTAAGTGAAAATCAAATGCAACCGGGGTTCGTTGGTTCGAACTTTAGGCCTTCGACTTTCAGTTTCAGGACCGCGACTGATGACGATAATTGACATGTTCAATTCGCATCCGGACGTCAACGTCTCTACCAACGCTGTCCGGTATACGGTATACGGCATAAGCGACCCCCGAGTGGAATCACCACTGCCAAGGTGCTCCATCATCGATAATTCATATGCATCGCGCATCCACTGCACCAGATACAACATAAACCACGGAGGGACGGACGGAGGCGGTCGAATGACCTACACGGATACAATATATCACTGCGGGAGTCGTTCTGCGGCCGAAACGTCGTTTCCATAATCGCTATGTTTACGTCGACGGTAATAGGAAAGCATGAGACTGATAATGCTGATTTATGGCCAATTTTTGCAAGCTGCAATATGTTGCGAATAATCCGGTTCAATCGTGGACCGTTCGCCGCAAGCATTGCCATGCTAAATAGCGAACATTAGCACAACCGATAATAAATCTACTACTCTACATATATCCTGCACTCATAGCCAACTAGAAGTTTACTGCTTCCAAAGTTTTCTTTTATTGGAATAGAAACAAGCGATTACGGACCTAAACACTGGCCGGCGCATCGGTTTTGCATACTAAACGCAACACAAATTAACCCTTGCACGACAAGATGATCCAGACTATCTTCTTGGATTTATTGTTATCTTAAAACAAATGGCCTATATCTGCGCTTTTTTTATAAAGTCACATATGCGCATTTCACACGACAAATAATAGGCTCTTGCAAAAATTTTATTTCCAAATTTGGAGAAAAAATCAATACGTATGGGAACAGAGACTGTAATATTGACTAGATAAATCTTAAATATTTTGATGTATGACGAATTTTTCATTAAAAAGTAAAAAGTAGGTACTTATAGTGAAAAATTCTTCAAGCTTCTCCAAAAAACCAAGTACAGCCCATTTCAATTTGTTAGAATTGTGACCTTGAAGAAATCTGCGCGAAGATAGAAAGAATACACACTAGGCGTGAGCAAGACAGAAATAGTTGGAACGAGCTTGAACGAGCAGAGCTCTCGATGGGCGGTCTTAGGAGATCGGCTAGAACTGTACAGTGCTAGACGAAAATGTTTAGCAATTCTTAAAACAAAAATGTATATAAATTAACAATAGAAAACAAAGCAAAAGTTGTATAGGTGTGTAGAGCGTTAAATTAATTCACTTGTTATTATTTTTGGCTAAATATGCTTTTAAATAAAGCATATTCTTAAATTTTAACGAGGCAGTTTAAATAATTTTGCGAATGGTACTGTACACTTTTGTTTAGTTCTCGCTCGATGATCGGTGGAGAAATGAGACAAATATGATTGAAATTGGAATTATGCTACGGCGCATCCTAATAAAAGGAAAGGGCATATCTCTAACTTCTTGAAACGAACAGTACATATTTTCGACCTTGTACTTTTTGATTTTACTGTGTCCCGAAAGCAAGAAAGCGAGCGATATGAATAAATCTTTTTTGTCGTTGTTGGAACAATCGACGACAGTTTTTACCGGTTCGAAATAGCTTCCAAATAGCTACCATTATTTACGCGAATAGTTGGCTTTGTTTCGGAAAAATCTATAAATAAAACATTCCGATCGCGCGGTTCTTATTCTGCTCGCGACAGATGTGCAGTTTGCCGTATTGATTACAGAATAGCAAATCCCCCACTAAAATCAAACGGATTATCCCCAAAAGACCAAATGGATATGAATTATTTAGTTGGCGTGTCAGATGCAATTGGCTTCCTCCGTTTTACGCTCCGTGTTGAGGTCGTAGTTGTTACTGGTTATGGATTTATTGGTTGCGGCATCTTCCAACTTTTCCGTCTTTGGAGATTAACTACTTTACAATAGGTATCAATTACAGCAACAACAAAACCACAAAAAGTAGATACCAACGGTCTAAGACCATCTTTTAGCAACGAACTATTAATACATCTAAAATGCAAACTGCAGCAGGAATCATAAAATTTACACTCGCTAGTCATCTTGGGATTTCCCGAGAGTGCGGTAATTATATTAGGCTAACTTAGGTTGGGTCAGATTATAATCAAACAGCATCATACCCTTTTGATCGTTGATATACCCAAAAAGTAATTTCCTAACTTTTTCTTTTCCGCCGCGCCCATCGTCCACGTTTTGCACTCGTGCAGAGTCGTGCTCCAAACGTATGTACAATATTTTTTGAATTTCTATTGCAAAATTATGACTTACAATATTTATTTTCACACAACAGGTAAATGTGAATTGAACTCAATCATTTTTATTTATCTAAACACATAACCATACTGATTACATAGCAATTTATACTTAATAGTACAGTTCTCTATCGGCCCACCCGCCTGGTTTGGCCCTAATTAATTTCTTCCTCACTTCGTCGAATATTATAATCAATATACCAAACGGGATAGACGGCATAACAAAATACCAACTGACGAATTCGAACTGGAGAACATGCTTCATGGCAGGAGTATAAACGAAGAGGCCTGCCGTTGCTAATACGAAAAAGATACTCAAGTTTAGGCACCAATTGGACATTCCCTGCTGGAAGATAGAAAGCCTTCTTGTTTTGCATACTATCAGATCGGCGATTTGCGTGACTACCATTGTCAGATACGAGACAGCAAAGCCTCTCCTTTGAAGGGTCATTCTTTCCTCATATGTCCACTCTATTCCGTATGAGTCCTTCACATCGTTCAGTACCTTGTTGTCCCACACATCTCTAATAAATAGGTGGATACATAAAAGTAAGGGGGATTTTTCTTGTTTAATATTTTTCAGGTTAGAAATGAAGAGGTATTAGAAACAGTAGGAGTACAGAGGACTCTATGGAAGTCAACAAGAAATAGACGAGATAGAGGTTGGTAGGACACCTTCTCAGGCATGAAGGTCTAGTCAGAGACATATTAGAGGAGGAAACGGAAGTTAGGAGGGGTAGAGGTAGACATATATTAGAATAGTGTTCGCAAATAGTTAAGGATGTGGGCTGTTCTAGTTTTAGGGAAATGCGAAGATTAGCTCAGGATAGGAAAGAGTGGAGGTGCGTGTCCAACCAGTCTTAGGACTGAAGACCTTATGATGATGAATATTTTTCAGGAAAACTGGAGATTAAAACTAACCAATTTAATTTTTGAAATTTTACCAGGCTTCCGGCAGAAGCACCGCCCCTTCTGTTTTTAGCTTGAGAAATGATTTGTGTTGTACAGTTAACAGAAGGTTTCGTTACATTTGCTAACGATGAGCAGAAGGAAAAGAAGTTTTAATTACTTTCGGTTTACTTTCTCATAGCCTGTTTCTCTCGCTAATTGACGGACCGGTTCTGCTAGAAGCCGAATATTCGAATAAACTTTTGTTTTATTTTTCTTCCGTCCAAGTCTCGCATGTTGACTGACTGATTAACTCGCAGCGTATTGTTATCTCCAGTTTCTGCCACTGAATGTCAACTTCAACAAAAATCTATATTTTTTAAAGAGAAAAACTTTCAACCGATTTGATATTTTGACATTATACAGGACTTGCATACTTAATTGGGAGCACTTTTTATCAGACAAACAATAGGGCGACAAAACAGACTCGAATGGAATATATCAATTTGAATTGTAAGGCCCGCGAAGAATAAGCTACAAATAGTAGTAAATACCTGATTCCCATAAGACTGCGAATATGCCATCCATGCATAGACATCATGATAAAAAAGCAGCTCATAGTGGCAAAAGTCTGTATCAGTCCGATTTGAAAATAAGCATACACAATGAGCCTCCAGGTGACTAATTTATCCTCTTTGTAATTTCTTGGCTTTCTAAGCATAATATCAGCTTCAGCTTTTTCATAAGCCAAAGCAATAGAAGGCCACAGATCCGTTCCAATATCGATTGCAATGATCGCTATGATGCTTAGAGCCTGCGGGATTCCGCAACATACGAACAGAACGAAGGGCACGCATTCAGGAACGTTCGAAGTCAACAGGAATGCGATGCTCTTTTTCAAATTATCAAAGATCAGTCGACCTTCTTCGATTCCGATAACTATCGAAGCAAAGTTGTCGTCCATCAGGATCATATCAGCTGCTTCTTTTGCCACATCGGTTCCAGTTATTCCCATTGCTATGCCTGATTAAATTATAGATATAGGTATAATAAAGGATCGGAGAATTGTAGCCGAGGGGAAGGAAATCTCTCAAGGGAGGACGCATAGTATCTAGATGTTACTGGCTGCTACTCTGCAGAAAGGATGGCCAATAGAACCTAGGCATCTACCACCTTAACTGATTTCCCTTTAAGAGCTTCCTTCTCGCTGCTTTACATTCCAATATCTGTAAATTAAATATCAAAAAGAAGAGCAACAACACGTTCTGTCGAAATTTTCATCAGAACATTCCGACAGGATACCGAAGCTGCTCCTGGTTTACAGGAGACAAGACATTAAAGAACTGCAGCTCCCATCAAGCAGACAGCTACTGGTGGCAAGATGACATTGTTAATTAAAAAGGACCCCTTCAAAAATTAGTGAACCCACAGGATGTAAACGTCTTTAAGATAGGAAACTAACCAATGTTGGCTTTTTTCAGCGCAGGTGCATCGTTAACCCCGTCCCCCGTTACTGCAACGATGTATCCGTTCTGTTGAAACGCTTCGACAATTCGAAGTTTCTGTTGCGGACTGGTCCGGGCGAATACTATCTCCTGATACGAGTTCACTAATACCATCAGTTCTTCGGCGTTCAGTTGCCGTAGGTCGTTCCCCGTTACAATTATATGAGACGGTATGTCGCTCTCCACGTCGTTCTGTAGTACAGCAGTCAAATCATCGGTCGATGTGAGGAAATTGGGACTGTTGCCATCGGTTAATATCCCGACGTTCTTGGCAACCGCGGCCGCCGTTACAGGATGATCACCAGTGACCTGTATTTGAAACATGGATCTGTAGTGATTGGTCAGGTTTAATTGAAACGAGTTTACCATAATTACTCTAATTCCCGCAGATTTACATCTGGCAACGGCATCAGGTACGTTGGGCCGTGGCGGGTCAAGGAAAGACATTAACCCAACAAATCTCAAGTTGTTTATCGGAATGTTTTTACTTGTAAATTCGAAATTCGGTGGATATTGTTGAGAAGGTAGCTGAGAATCACAGAAACCAAGAACTCGCTCGCCCATTTCCCCCAGGTTTCGAACAGAGGCCTCAAGGCTCTTTTTTATGGTTGCCGTCATGGCAACTTCTGCACTACCGTCATAGTAAGTCGAACAAAAGTTCAGTATTCGTTCGGGGGCACCTTTTAGTACCAAAAGAAATTGATTATCTTTCTTCAAATGAACAGAGACTTGGTATTTAATGGATGAGTTGAAGGGAATTTCGAAAACCTGGAATTTATTACGATGCAAAATAGTTTCGTTAAATAATAATTAGTTGTCGATAACCTTTGGCTTGTCTAGTTTCATTTGTACGGTCTTTCCGGTTATCTTCTCCACAAACTTGAGAACCGCTATTTCAGTAGCGTCCCCATTAGCCTCCCTTTTATCAATTGGGACATTCTCTTGTCCAGGTTTAAATTCCGCGCGACTGCACAGAGTAGCTACTCTACAAAGGGCCGCGAGCCCTTCACTTTTCTTGTTGAGATAAGCCTGATTGTTCAAGACACCGTGGATGATTGTATCAAAAAAAACATGACTAACCTGAATACGATTACTAACATTAAATTATTTATCGAAAAAGAACGACAACGAAAAGAAAAAAACGCTAACCATCATCCTATTTTGAGTTAACGTGCCAGTTTTGTCGGAACATATGACAGACGTGGAGCCTAGAGTCTCTATGGCTTGTAGATTTTTTATTGCACAGTTTTTCGTTTTCATTCGTTTTGCCGTAAGGGATAAACAGGCGGTCATGGTGATAAGAAGAGATTCTGGAATGTTGGCAATCACAATGCCTATAAAGTACAGTAGGGCTTGAAATATGTTGTAGCCTATTGCAAGTGAAGCCACAAAAAAGATTATACCTACAACGAATAGATTTCTGATTAATAGTTTTTACCATTGGGCCTAGTGGTCGATAGTATTGGGTTGTTCGGAAAGTCATTTCGTTTTTTCCCGACAGAGGATTTAATTGTATTCTTTTGTACCCAACTTCACATTTAAGCCGTATAATTTTTAGCCAAAAGCTTTTACAGCTTGAATGGGATACAATGCTACACCCACCATATTCTCCAGACCAGGCACCATCGGATTATTATTTTTTCCGGTCACTCCAAAATTTTTTAAACGGTAAAACCTTCACCTCAAATGAGGAGGTCAAAAACCTCCTCGATCAATTTTTTGCCAGCAAAGACCAAAAATTTTATGAGCGTGGAATTATGTACCAGAAAGATGGCAAAAGGTGTTGGACCAGAACGGTCAATATATAATAAAGTATTTGTTTATTATACGATAACTGTCTTTCATTTCCACAAAAAAAACGAAATGACTTTCCGAACAACCCTATAGAAAAGTAAATGTTTGTACCGATAGCAAAAGCTATGATGGTAATGGCATGTACAAATCTCTTTAGATCTTTTTTGATCTCTGTTTCTTGGGTTTCAATTCCAGTTGTTAATGAAGCGATCCTTCCCATCGCTGTTTTGTCTCCGGTGGCTATAACTACCCCTTTGCCAGTTCCCTGTACCACAAATGTTCCGAAGAACGCGAGATTCTCTGTTTCCATTGGATTTATATCGGTCAAATCGGGCGACTTTCCGACTGGCTTCGATTCACCAGTTAGTGCACTATTTTCAACGGCAAGATCTGACCAAGAAAAACAACGACAGAATAGAGCGTCGCGTCGCGTCGCGTCGAGAGAGATAAAAAAATATTACCCTGAACCTCAAGTATGCGAACATCTGCCGGCACAACGTTTCCCATACTAAATTTAACGATATCGCCCACAACCAATTCTTCAGCCGGAAGAGTGATTTCATTCCCTTCTCTAATGACAGTCGCTTGCTTCGGTACGATATTGGCAAATCCTTCAATAACCTTTATACTCTGAACCTCCTGGATGAATCCGTAACCACCCGTTACAATCACAACAATCAGAAGAAGAATGCCTGTTAAATCCGTATTAGGTATTGATGTTAGCGGAAATGTATGAAATCTCTAGGAAATGTGTATAATTCCTAAAATCGGCCGGAAATGTGTAAAATAAATTATATAAGAAACCTATACATTTCCTAAATAGCAATCGGAAATGTATTACAGGTAGGTAATACTGAATAGGTAGAATAATCTAACAGCAAACACGATGACCTTGAATTTTTAGTATGTTTTAGAGGTGATAATGTACCATATCATGTCAGCCCGCCTCATACAATTCCTAGGAAATGTATACATTTCCCAGGATCATTATAATCATCATCATAAGGTCTTCAGCCCTAAGACTGGTTGGACATGTACCTCCACTCCTTCCTATCTTGAGCTAAACTTCGCATTTCCCTAAAACTAGAACAGCCCACATTCTTAACTATTTGCGAACAGTAATCTAATCTAGGTCTACCTCTACCTCTACCCCTCCTAACTCCTGTTTCTGCCTCTAATATGTCTCTGACTAGACTTTCATGCCTGAGAAGGTGTCCTACCAACCTATCTCTCCTATTTTTTATTGACTTCCATAGAGCCCTCTGTTCTCCTATTCTTTCCAATACCTCTTTATTTCTAACCTTTTCTACCCACGATATCCTCATCATCCGCATATAACACCACATTTCGAACGCTTCTAACCTTTCCTTTTCCGCCGCTCCCACTGTCCATGTTTCACACCCGTACAACGCCGTGTTCCAAACATACACCTTTAACAACCTTTTTCGAATTTCTAAATTAAACGTTCGCGAGCATAGAAGTGACTTTTTATTAAAGGCGACCTAGGATATGTGTGCATTAAAAAATCTTTGAAACAATATTTCATACATTTCCTAAATAGCCTAGGAATTGTATACATTTCCTAGGAACTGTAGATTTCATAAATTTCCGATAACATTGATATAAACAGGAGGCTTCGTTTCGTCATCATACCCATATACAGTTTATCCTCGGCCACACTAGGATCGGACGTACGGGCGACAGCGTATCCAATAAAACACATAATAGATCCCATCCATAGTAAAGATGAGAAACCCCCAAAGAAGTTATGGAAAAGTACAGACCATTTTGATATTGCAGCGTTAGGCACTAAACAATTAGGGCCGTATTTTTTGAGGCGATCATCGGCTTCATCAATCGTCAAACCAGTTTTACGATTGGTTCTGAGTCTAAAAATGGTATCGAAATAGAAACTTTGAGCTTGATTCCCATTATTTTCCATGTACAATATCTTACTTTTCCAACAAAACCTTCAATTCTATTATATGATCTTCGGTCGTGTATTCCGCTTTGTCTCTCTCTATTTCCTCGAGATCTTTCTCTTTGACTATAGTCTTCGAGTACTGAACTCTCCCGCTGGAAGAAGTCCTTACTGACACTCGGGTTCTCGTTCTCTTAAACATCTTGGCTTACGTAAAGCTAATCATGTGTTAATAAGTTTAAGTGACGTTTAATTTTTTTGTTTCGTTTCGAGGATGGACTTCTAGATATTCATAAAACAAGTAGTCGATTAAGTAATCACTACATAGTATAAAACAAAGTCGCTTTCCCGCTGTCTGTCCCTATTTTTGCTAAAATCTTTAAAACCACGCAACGGATTTTGATGCGTTTTTTTTTAATAGATAGAGTGATTCAAGAGGAAGGTTTATATGTATAATACATGCATGATATAGTAGTTAAACACTGATAATAATTTTAGAGGTTTCTAATGTGATGTCGTAAATAAACACATTTTTTGCGCTTACATTGCAAACGCTGGCTGAACCCTACGGGATAGATCAAAATAATGTACTACAGTATTGTACATCTTAAAAAGGTCTACAATAAAGTCCGTGATGGTATATGTCTATCTCTTAGGGATAACCCACAATAACCATTTTTTATCCTTTACTTTTTATGAGAAATAATGGCTTATTTACGAAGCGATTTTAAGCAATACAGCATTAATCCTCATGCAATTAAGTATTTTTAAATACATTGTGCATTTAATATAGATCAATATGTCCCTTTACAACATGTAATTTAAATGAATATTTTCGAAGATATTACAGATTTAAAATGCAGGGACATAGCGGTTGCGGCGGTACCGGCCGGGAGGCCGGTTTGTATTGTCTAATGACAAAAAAACTGTGAATGTTGTATATAAAGACATTCTGTAGTATATTTAGTATGTTCAGGGGGTATCTTTTGAAGATTTCCCCTTTTCGATAATAATCTAAACAAAACAAAAATATATTTAGTATCAGCATTGCACCCGTGCGAAGCTGGGGCGGGTCACTAGTAATAAATATAACTAAAAATTTGTTGGTGTTCGTCCCGATTCATGACGAGAGAAAATCGAAGAAGACGCAATGGGATATCGCACGACCGGTTAACAGAATACCATTTCAATAACATTTTCCATTTATCAGCGTGAGACTTTTTTTGTAAGCGACCTGAGCGCGCGCGTTAACACCATTCCGTCTGTATACTTCGCAGCCATAATTCACCAACAGGGTGTTTTCGTATCACCTCATTCATGCCAGTCATTTATCACTGTAAATGATGTGTCGCCGGATTGGATCCCGTTGTCGCTCAAATATATTTTTGTCAACGGGCTCGTTCGGGCAGCGCGCGTATGTATTATACATGTATGCGAGGCCTTCCCTTTTTTTTCCTCGGGTTACTTCTGATTTAATTCAGGTGGAAACCAATTTTTTACGTAACAAAGACAAAGTGCATGGGACGAGGGTCGTTGGCCTATTTCGTTTTTAACAGTTTCACGATCCACTCGATCATTTGATCATGAAGTAATTGGATCAATTCCAGGCAAATACAAATCCAATAAATTGTAATTTATATCCTTGGATAAATCATGTAGTTTCTCCATTCCAGTGTATAGTTGACCACATATATCATGAAAATTCGCCAAAACTCCTTACCGCAAATCTGGATGGCCATGCTAATGAAAATTATGACATATCACTGACCTTGAAATTAATTTTCCGGTATTATCCTTAAATCGAAAAGGATTATGCCAAACAATAATGAATTCACAATTAGTGGCAAATCTCCTCTACATACGACTTAAGTATCACATATTACTGTAGAATTATTGAGAAGCACACGCACCCCTCTCTACCTCTTCGCACAGACGTTAAAGAGGGAAGGGATGAGGCCCGCACCAAAAAAACTTTTGGGTGTTTCATTCCCACCAGCCAGTAATGCTGGTGGGCGGGCAGTCCCTCCGGACTACGCCGGAAGGTAGGGCGGAAGGCCCTCTTCAGGCTGCTTTCAGGAAGCGTGGGAATGGGTGGGTAGTGGATCAGGTGAGAAAGATGAGGCGAACGAAATGAAGACAGAAAAGAATGAAAGATTATCTGTGGAATATAACTGCCTCAGCATTTGCCTAAGTGATCCAAGGAAACCACAGAAAAATTTGGACCAAGACAGATGGACCCGGAATCGAACCGGCAACCTCCCAAATGCTAAGCAATGGTCTAACCTCTAGGCCATGCCGCTCGGTGCCCGCACCAACCGCGCCGTACCCATTCCTACGATTCCTAAAAGAAGTTGAAGATGGTCAACTTCCGGCGTAGTTTAAAGGGACTGCCCGCCCACTAGCAGTGTCAGCTGGTGGGCATAAAATACTCAAAAGCTTTTTTGTATGTGTATGTTGCATAGCGTTTTTCGTCCTATCTTTTGGCGTAGTCCGGAGGGACTTCCCACCTATCGGCATTAGTAGCTGGTAGGAATAAAACATGTAATAATTCTTGTAAGTTTTTTTTGTATATGTTGCATAGTGTTTTTCTTCCTATCTTTTGGCCTAGTCCGTAGGGACTTCCCACCTATCGGCATTAGTAGCTGATAGGAATAAAACATGTAATAATTCTTGAAAGTTTTTTTGTATGTTACGTAGCGCATTTCGTCCTACCCTTTGGTGTAGTCCGGAATTAGCATTAGTAGCTGGTAGGAATAAAACACCAAATAGTTCCTTTAAGTTTTTTTGTGTATGTTACATAACATATAATCCAGGTTATCTGCCGTTGTAAAATGGTGCACTACAAAAAAAAAGATAATTGCTTCTCCTGCATCGAGTTCACCCCAGTTTAGATTTAGAAATTTTCTTTAAACTGAATACCCACATTCTTTAATCTGACAACAGCTTGTTGTTGAGTGTAAAAGATAGTTATTGTGTTTTCTATTGTACCTATATTTTTCCATTAGACGGAAAAGTAATTACCCAACCGAATTATTCGCAATTGCGGGTATCACATGTTCTGTTCACGATCAGTTGCTACATGTACAAATGCGGTCCGTTCATTACAGGAAAATTCTACAGAATCACGTTTCCTCGGCCAAAAGTATTCAGGTCAGTGTTCGCCGGTCTTTCTACACCGTTTCCTTTTTTAAATTGAGCTTTCCAGAATGTTACTGAGTTCGAGGAGGGATTTCGCTATTTGAATGGTGCTCGAGACCACTTACATCGAGGATCTTCTAGCTAGTAGTAACTTACCTCACCTTGTATCTACCTATAGTAGCTCTAGACACACTTTGAATCGATAACATACACCCTGTTGAAGGTGGTTTTGAACAATAATTTTTCATTGCTGCCGCTCTCATCTACGATGCATCGATCTCTGTTAATAAAAGTACTTGCTATTTTTGTTTTTATTGCTTATCTGTCCTGTTTCAATATTTCATAGCCGATTGTTAATCATTTCTTTCATTATTGGTTCCAAATCATTTCTGTTTAAGAAATTTAATTTTCATTCTTTCCCCTATTGATTGTGTCAAATTTTCCGACATTCGATTCTTTTCTCACACAACCCTCCACCGTAGGTATCATTAATTTCTTTACATTTCATTGTTTTTGTCTTTAACAGCAAAGTTATTCTGAAAAATATATACTATGTATACAAAATATTGTACATAAACAAAGAATGAGACAAATATTACGAGTATATATGTACATGTTGTAAATATCTCTAAAACAAGATAATGCCGTTATTCCTGAATCTGACTCGAAAAAGTTCAACAACTATGGCAATAGGGAAATGGCTTCCGCCTCAAGGAGGGATGTAAATAAAGCTGCGTTGTTTATGAAAACAAACGAATTCCTCGGGAAGCATAACTGCTCATTTTAGTACATGCGGTACACAGTTTTCGAGAAAGTTTTTGTTTATATTATCTAGCATTGTCGACAAACGAAACTTTTGTCGTGTTAAATAAGGAGAAGCTTTACGTTCTTGTTTTTCTAAACTTGTACATGCGAATAAACAGTTTTTGGTTTCGGGTTTAAGTAGGTTATTTTAAGTGCAAAAATTCATTGTGGTTTCGTGACCTTATTTAACTTTTCTGAATTGCGAGATTAAAATTATAACAGAATCAAACTAGATTTAAATTTTAATTAATATCCTGAAGGGTTTAAACTAACGGATTATCCTATTAGATAATTAATTACATTTTAATGCAGTAAATGTTGCACGACGCCGAATAACAATTACAGAAGTTCTTTTATTCATTATATTTTCAGGAATTACAAATACACCATTGGGTATTCTCGTTAGCACGACGAGCATACATACACATATATGAAGCTGATGTCAATGACATTTTCGAAATTGACGTGACGTTGTTTTCGACGACATTTACTTTTTAAATGTCAACCTGGGAAAAACCATCACTGAATGCACCCCGCTAATAAAAGACAGGTTTCTCGTGTCAACATAAAAGTTATTGAATAAAGCAAACTTAAAAATATTTGTAGAGAGGAAATTCCAACATTAAAATTGGGAGAATGGTACATTTTCTTCCAACAAGGTTTCTGCAGAAATTCACGTAATAATCCAATTACAAAAAAGTGAATTTTAAATTTAGTTCCTTCCTGTAGTCAATAAATTTGTTATTCATTTATCATTAATATAATTCATTTAAAATAATTAAAAAAACAAAGTACTTTATGCATAATTAATAATAAATTAAATGAGTTAATAACACTGATCTACTGAATTATTTACGAAGAAACGCAGAAAATGACAAATTTTAGCATGATGGGTTACGACGATCAGCCGTTTCACCACTCCAACTTATCTCTGACTCGCTTCTAACGCTGAACATTACCTAACAATACCTCAAAATGGTATTAAATTTCATAGAGATATAGAAGATATTCGCATCTATTATTTTTCCTTACATTGCTTTATTATTATTGCAATTGTTAGATTGGAAAACTAGGCTCATTAATTCAAATATTAACAAGTAACGGATAATTAAAAACGAGTTACCGACTGCGAACAGCCCACGTTGATAAAGCTTGTGAATATTTATGAACAACATTAGCATTTCTGTTTTGCCTCGCCAATTCGTGCCTGCCAAAAATTGCTGCGAATGTAGAAATTCCACGTTCGATAATGTAGAATCCTTTAAAACTTTTTAGAATAAATAAAGTTATATAAATACCTTTCCAACATCAGACACGCAGCTTTTAAATAAAACGGAACATAATCCATTTTTAAATTGCAAGAGTTGCAATCCGAAGCCGGCCCTGGGCGTGAATTGCCAACGTGTANATGTCGCCTGTCTTTTACTCAACTTATCAATTGTCTCTACTTTCTTAATTTCGAAGAGGTGGATGTTTTCAGGTCGAGTTACAAGCGAGCCTATATTGAGCGATGGTTAGCGATATTAAGAAGGTTTAGAGGCACATATGTCGCCTGTCTTTTACTCAACTTCTCAATTATCTCTAATTTCTTAATTTCGGGGAGGTGGATATTTTCAGATCGAGTCACAAGCGAGCCAATATTGAGCAATGGTTAGCGATATTAAAAAGGTTTAGAGACACATATGTCGCCTGTCTTTTACTCAACTTATCAATTGTCTCTACTTTCTTAATTTCGAAGAGGTGGATGTTTTCAGGTCGAGTTACAAGCGAGCCTATATTGAGCGATGGTTAGCGATATTAAGAAGGTTTAGAGGCACATATGTCGCCTGTCTTTTACTCAACTTCTCAATTATCTCTAATTTCTTAATTTCGGGGAGGTGGATATTTTCAGATCGAGTCACAAGCGAGCCAATATTGAGCAATGGTTAGCGATATTAAAAAGGTTTAGAGACACATATGTCGCCTGTCTTTTACTCAACTTATCAATTGTCTCTACTTTCTTAATTTCGAAGAGGTGGATGTTTTCAGGTCGAGTTACAAGCGAGCCTATATTGAGCGATGGTTAGCGATATTAAGAAGGTTTAGAGGCACATATGTCGCCTGTCTTTTACTCAACTTCTCAATTATCTCTAATTTCTTAATTTCGGGGAGGTGGATATTTTCAGATCGAGTCACAAGCGAGCCAATATTGAGCAATGGTTAGCGATATTAAAAAGGTTTAGAGACACATATGTCGCCTGTCTTTTACTCAACTTATCAATTGTCTCTACTTTCTTAATTTCGAAGAGGTGGATGTTTTCAGGTCGAGTTACAAGCGAGCCTATATTGAGCGATGGTTAGCGATATTAAGAAGGTTTAGAGGCACATATGTCGCCTGTCTTTTACTCAACTTCTCAATTATCTCTAATTTCTTAATTTCGGGGAGGTGGATATTTTCAGATCGAGTCACAAGCGAGCCAATATTGAGCAATGGTTAGCGATATTAAAAAGGTTTAGAGACACATATGTCGCCTGTCTTTTACTCAACTTATCAATTGTCTCTACTTTCTTAATTTCGAAGAGGTGGATGTTTTCAGGTCGAGTTACAAGCGAGCCTATATTGAGCGATGGTTAGCGATATTAAGAAGGTTTAGAGGCACATATGTCGCCTGTCTTTTACTCAACTTCTCAATTATCTCTAATTTCTTAATTTCGGGGAGGTGGATATTTTCAGATCGAGTCACAAGCGAGCCAATATTGAGCAATGGTTAGCGATATTAAAAAGGTTTAGAGACACATATGTCGCCTGTCTTTTACTCAACTTATCAATTGTCTCTACTTTCTTAATTTCGAAGAGGTGGATGTTTTCAGGTCGAGTTACAAGCGAGCCTATATTGAGCGATGGTTAGCGATATTAAGAAGGTTTAGAGGCACATATGTCGCCTGTCTTTTACTCAACTTCTCAATTATCTCTAATTTCTTAATTTCGGGGAGGTGGATATTTTCAGATCGAGTCACAAGCGAGCCAATATTGAGCAATGGTTAGCGATATTAAAAAGGTTTAGAGACACATATGTCGCCTGTCTTTTACTCAACTTATCAATTGTCTCTACTTTCTTAATTTCGAAGAGGTGGATGTTTTCAGGTCGAGTTACAAGCGAGCCTATATTGAGCGATGGTTAGCGATATTAAGAAGGTTTAGAGGCACATATGTCGCCTGTCTTTTACTCAACTTCTCAATTATCTCTAATTTCTTAATTTCGGGGAGGTGGATATTTTCAGATCGAGTCACAAGCGAGCCAATATTGAGCAATGGTTAGCGATATTAAAAAGGTTTAGAGACACATATGTCGCCTGTCTTTTACTCAACTTATCAATTGTCTCTACTTTCTTAATTTCGAAGAGGTGGATGTTTTCAGGTCGAGTTACAAGCGAGCCTATATTGAGCGATGGTTAGCGATATTAAGAAGGTTTAGAGGCACATATGTCGCCTGTCTTTTACTCAACTTCTCAATTATCTCTAATTTCTTAATTTCGGGGAGGTGGATATTTTCAGATCGAGTCACAAGCGAGCCAATATTGAGCAATGGTTAGCGATATTAAAAAGGTTTAGAGACACATATGTCGCCTGTCTTTTACTCAACTTATCAATTGTCTCTACTTTCTTAATTTCGAAGAGGTGGATGTTTTCAGGTCGAGTTACAAGCGAGCCTATATTGAGCGATGGTTAGCGATATTAAGAAGGTTTAGAGGCACATATGTCGCCTGTCTTTTACTCAACTTCTCAATTATCTCTAATTTCTTAATTTCGGGGAGGTGGATATTTTCAGATCGAGTCACAAGCGAGCCAATATTGAGCAATGGTTAGCGATATTAAAAAGGTTTAGAGACACATATGTCGCCTGTCTTTTACTCAACTTATCAATTGTCTCTACTTTCTTAATTTCGAAGAGGTGGATGTTTTCAGGTCGAGTTACAAGCGAGCCTATATTGAGCGATGGTTAGCGATATTAAGAAGGTTTAGAGGCACATATGTCGCCTGTCTTTTACTCAACTTCTCAATTATCTCTAATTTCTTAATTTCGGGGAGGTGGATATTTTCAGATCGAGTCACAAGCGAGCCAATATTGAGCAATGGTTAGCGATATTAAAAAGGTTTAGAGACACATATGTCGCCTGTCTTTTACTCAACTTATCAATTGTCTCTACTTTCTTAATTTCGAAGAGGTGGATGTTTTCAGGTCGAGTTACAAGCGAGCCTATATTGAGCGATGGTTAGCGATATTAAGAAGGTTTAGAGGCACATATGTCGCCTGTCTTTTACTCAACTTCTCAATTATCTCTAATTTCTTAATTTCGGGGAGGTGGATATTTTCAGATCGAGTCACAAGCGAGCTAATATTGAGCAATGGTTAGCGATATTAAAAAGGCGACATATGTCGCCTGTCTTTTACTCAACTTATCAATTATCTGTACTTTATAAATTGCTAGAGGGTGTTTGTTTTCATGACGAGTCATAGGCGAGCCCATAATCAGTGAGATTCACGAATATTAAAATATAGTTTACAGATGCATACGTCGCAAGTCTCTTACGCGTCTTATCAACTGTCTCTATATTTTTAATTTCGGGAAGCCGGATGTTTTCAGAATGAATCACATGAGAGTCAACATTGATCGATTGTTATTGATCTTGAAGAGCTTTAGAGATACAAAATAAAAATTAGGTTTACGTTACTATTACTACCATGGTAGAATGAGCAGATTACGAGGATCCTATGCTTTATCTAAACCTATTAAATGAAGCGTATAGTAACACAACCAAAAGTGAACTGACGGAAATAGAGAACGGCAATAAAAGTGAACTTAATTTGAACGGGCGATTTGTTCAGTTGCTTTCTTTTCATTTCCGACAGACAAGTGGATATAACTATACGTAAGGGCAAAGGTAATTTGTTTAAGGAGCTCGCGAGCTTGCACAAAATTCCTTATCCGCGAACAGGAGCCGTATAATTTTGGCCAATTTAATCCCAGGCAAATGTGGAACTCATTCAAAACATCGTAACATCCGAGAACTGGGGAAAGATCGAGAAGAAGACGATGTCGGATTTAATTAAAACAATCAGACATGCACTTCAAGAGCCCAAAATCGTCGGGAAATTACTTAATAAATTCATAAGTGGGTAATTTTTGCCTATTTCTACAAATATACGGTTACATTTATACTCTGATTATACAGACAATTTTTATATATAAGTAATATGTTAGTGAAAGAACAAAACACTTAGAAAAGGTCCCACACTTTCAGCAGCAAAGAAATTGGACCTTTTATGAAACATTTAACGAAACAAAATGCCTTTTGTTGCGTCGTCCTTCTATTTTCCGAATTTTCAAAAGCGTAACTCGATTAAGGAGTAATTGTCCATTTTTTGTCGGAGTGTACTTATGACATTAAATCCTTCTTTTCCCCTGTAGGTGCTATATTTGAACATAAAAAGCCTCCTTTAGACGCGTCGCGCTATAAAAACGGCAAGATGCTTTGTGGGAGACTCATAACTCCCTTTTTATTGGAATATAAAACAATCATAACGAGGAATGATTCCAGGAAATAAAAATTTTAATTCGCAACGTTTAAAACTCTTCCATTTTCACCGGAAAGAAAGCAGCTTGAGATATAATCCTGAATTAGAGAATTTTTTTTTTAATAAATGTAGAGGAACGTCGCCAAATTTAATTTTCATTAATAAATGTTTTTATGCTTTTTAAGGTGGCTTGGCTGAGGGTGGACACCCAAACCATTCTCACTATACACGGCCATGTAATCACCAAGAATCATAGGGTGGCAGTTTCGCATAGTGATCACAGGATTTGGTATTTACATATACGAGATGTCAGAGAATCCGATCGGGGTTGGTACATGTGCCAAATCAATACCGAACCCATGATTAGCCAGGTTGGATTCGTCAACGTTGTCGGTAAGTTGACATTTAATCGGTCAAATTTTATAAAATCAATATACCAGGTCTGTTCAAAAAGTATCACGAATATTGTGTTTTTTTTCCAATTTTCGAAGCACTTCAAAAAATCATTTCTTGTGATCTTGTTCAGTTCCTCCTTCGATGCCGTCTTTATCTCCTCAATAGTAGCGTAGCGTCGTCCTTCCATGGGCCTCTTCAGTTTCAGGAACAAGAAAAAATCACAGGGGGCCAGATCTGGGAAATACGGTGGCTGCGGCATTATTAGTGTGTTATTGTTGGTCAAAAATTCACACACAAGGATGTGTGAGCAGGGGAGTTATCATGGTGCAAAAGCCAATTTTTGTTCTTCCACAAATCCGGGCGTATCCTCCGAGTTACATAGCGCAAACTGCGGGTAATATTCCTTATTGACCGTTCTACCCTGTGACAAGAACTCATAATGCACTACTTCCCTGCAATCGAAGAAAATTGTAGGCAAAACTTTCACGTTGTGTACTTTTTTCGGTCTTGGCTTGTGCAGCAGCTTCCATTGGGGTGATTGAGCTTTGGTTTCCACATCATAAGCATAAACCAATGATTCTCCACCAGTTATGACCCTCTGGAGCACATTTGGGTCGTCGCGGACAGACTCCAACAGCTCCTTAGCAATGTTATACTAGATTTTCTTGAATGTTTTTAGCGTTAGCTAAAGTAGAATCCTAACAAAGAATGAACAAACCAACAAGGGTCTCCAATTGAGTGAAAAGCATATCAAAAAGTGCATGATGGTTGGATGATTGGAACGGTAACACATAACACTCCAGTTGTATTAATATAACTTCAACTTTACCTATCAGTCATGAATTGTAGTAGTTTTTAAACCTTTCATATACGTATTCAGATGCAATTCTATTAAGAGAGGAAGATATGAATTCTGTTTCCATAGTTACTTGCATTTCCTTGTTATTATATGTGTACCAATATGTACTATGTAGAAAAGGGTTTTACGGCTGAGATGTATGTCTGTGGATACTTTCAGGTGGAATTCGATTCATTTTGGTAAAAACATCGGCGCGACATATGCAAGCGAGTGTTTACATTGTGTCGATTAGAGCTCCGTCAGATTTCTTCCTTTGCTCGCTTTCATATCTTATTTCGATGCAATGAGATTTTATGATTGAGGTTTATGTAAAGTTCAGCGTAGTCTATAAATTTGCACATAAATGAACTGTATATTCATAAAGCCCCTTCATGCAGCCAATCGTAAATCACGAACAAGCCAACATCACCAAAATACGCCCTTAAACGTCATACAGTTATAAACGTAATCAGCAATACCGTTAAAACACAATGTAGAGGGAGAAATAAAGCAATTTAAAATTTATAATCTATTAAAAGGAAACCACGATACATTTTCGTCTTAAACGTTACATTGTGAGTGGTACGTAAAAAAATTAGGAATGTAGAGTACGAAAAGGTACAGAATTTTAGGGGTCGACACACTGAAACAAAATTATGATGATGGATCCAACATCTTCGCCTTCTTTCTGAATAATGTCAATACATATTTATTTTTTCCATAAAAAAATATTTTTGGTTTCGCTTTCTGTTTTAAATTGCCCTTGCTATGATAATAAATACTCGTTCGCGTATAGGGAAGAGATCACGGCTGAGGGTCCAGTCTACTGCACCTGCATGTTCTTGCTTAAGTAGATACAGTTAATAGTATCCTTACGCTTGACTAAAAATATTCTTGTTCGACACAAGGGACATTCGAGGGCATACTGTATCTAATTCTAGGTTTAGTTTTCCTTGCGTTTTTGCAACCCTATTGACATACGAGGGTGGATTGATAAGTTTCCGGCCTAACCAAGAGATGACGCCACTAGGCCTACCTTGAGGTGACATTCTATAGTACCATCCTTGGATAGCTTGTAGCTATAGTTTCAGCCCGATCTCCTTGCTAGTGTAGGTTTGACAGCACGCTGAACAAGACGCCTCTGTGGTTTTCGTAAAAATGGAAAAGCAGGAAAATCGTGCTGTCATCAAATACTTTTATTTGAAGGGGTTAACGCCGAAGGAAATTAAAAAAGAGATGGACTCAACACTGGGGACATCCTCCCCGTCATATTCAACCGTTAAGCAGTGGGTTTCCGAGTTTAAAAAGGGTCGTGTGAGCACCTCTGATGGGCCTCGCTCAGGACGCCCCGTTGAGGTCACAACTCCAGATATGATCGAAAAAATTCATCAAATAGTGCTGGGAGACCGCAGATTGAAAGTGCGTGAGATAGCTGAGACCTGTAAGATGTCATATGAACGTGTGCAACATATTTTGCACCAACATTTGCATATGGAAAAGCTCTGTGCAAGATGGGTGCCGCGTTTGCTAACAGTCGACCAAAAATTGATTCGAAAAAACATTTCTACCGCAAATTTGTCATTGTATAAGCGTAATCCAAGCGAATTTTTGCGTCGATTCGTAACCGTTGACGAAACGTGGGTCCACCACTACACTCCTGAAACCAAAGAACAGTCTAAACAGTGGATTGGACCAGGGGAACCAACTCCAAAGAAGGCAAAAACAATTTTTTCGGCGAACAAGGTTATGGCTACTGTTTTTTGGGATGCAAGAGGTATTATATACATTGATTACCTTGCAAAGGGTAATACTATCACTGGTCAATACTACGCAGACTTATTGCAACGTTTGAGCCACGAGGTGAAAATTAAACGACCTCATCTGGCGAAGAAAAAAATCTTGTTTCATCACGATAACGCACCAGCGCACACGTCAATCGTTGCGACGGCTAAAATCAACGATCTAAAGTTTGAATTGATGCCGCACCCTCCTTACTCTCCAGACCTAGCCCCGAGTGACTATTTTCTGTTCCCTAATCTCAAAAAATGGCTTGGCGGTAAGAGATTTGCGGACAATGAAGAAGTAATCGAAGCTGTAAATGGTTATTTTGAGGAGCTTGACGAATCAGTCTATAGAGATGGCATTAATAGACTGGAACACCGCTATGAGAAATGTATCAGCCTTGGAGGAGATTATGTTGAGAAATAAAAAAAAAAATTTTTAAAAACCTTGTTTTTCTTGGTCAGGCCGGAAACTTATCAATCCACCCTCGTAGATCCGAGCCGCCACTGCCTCTCTTACTTTTCAGTCGAGGGTTTTAAAACAATTTTTTAATAAAAGCTGTATTAGCGCAAATAACTACTCTTTAATATCAGTTTGAGATGACAATTTGTCATTTTCGTACATATATAATGTTCGTTTGAACGCATTGGTTGAAGTACCTACTGATATTGTTTCAACATTGTCTCTCTGCACTTGATTAAAGGTTCATTAAACAGTGGCGCCCGTTTTACGAGTATGAATTTAAATGATCCGTTAGCAGCAAAGGGAAATTTCGACGTTATGTTCACAACTAATTAAAAGGGGCAATCGGTTGACTAAACGACATAGTCGCATAGCACTCGCCAACACATCTTTTATGTACCATTATCCCTTGATATCTTTCAATTTTCCAACAACAGCTAAATTGCGATAACATCTTTTACAAAAAAAGGCACTTGGAAAAGGAAATTTTTGAAAAAACGTATGGTAAATTTTGTTTTATTTCTTACAGTGCCGCCTGACATTTTGGATCATCCTACAAGCAGCGACATGGTTGTCAGGGAAGGGTCAAGTGTAATATTAAAATGCGCTGCTACCGGGTACCCTAAACCAAATATAGTATGGAAAAGAGAGGAAGCTAAATCGATCCTCTTAGACAGTGGAGACGAAGGTACCTTTTTGTTCGTATTTAGATTTTAAAAATTTAACTAGGACGTAAACAGTTCAGTCCCTCTACAGAAGAATTGACAATGATTTTAACATTACCTAAACGCCTAAAGCGCGTAGAAACCATGAAAATAATACAAAAGAGCAGAGACAACTGTCGTGTTGTCTTTTCCTACTGTAACCTTATAATTTATTATTTATAATTTTCCGAAGCCAATTATACATCCGCCCAGAAATATAGACATAAATGTCCTACATACAAACATTTCTGCATCTGGTTTAAATACACATATGTATCTATGCTGTGAATGCGAAGTTTCTACTACATTTCAGTTATAAAGGATGATCGAGACGATCAAAGGGGTTTCACAGGCGTGCTTTTTAGTGATTAGACCCGGCAAACATTGCCGTGGTCGACGGGCAGCACCGCCCGGGACCCGCTCTCGCATCCCATCGGACTAATAACGGTAATTATATCGCACTCGTGTTGTAAAGGCGGCCGGACCCTCTCTCGTTGTGTCCTGCTGTTTACCGGAATTTAAATTTGTCCAAAGGATCGCTCTTGTGCAAATTAAAAATGACCTTTCACCATCCCATTTCTCTATCGAGAACGATGAGCAAAATCGATCTCAAAACAAAACACAAAAACTCGGCACATTCTGCATTTCCTTTCACATCAGATGATAAAAATTAATATTGCTCTCAAAAAAAGTAGAATATCCATTATCTGGGAAGTTACGATATTGTTTAAGAGAAAAACGATTTGCTATTTTGGTATATAAATGATCTCCCACTGGACCTATCGGGAATGCTGAAGTAGTATTACAGGAAAACGATTTCACAATCAGAGAGCACATTTTACTATATCGGCATTTGAGATTGAAATAAAAATTGATTAGACTTAACGTCATTCGATTTAACGACAAACTCCTTAAAATGACTTTGGTTGGTTTACATTGTTTTCTACACAATATTACACTCTATATAGCATCACATTCACTCTATTAAACGACAACAATACGGCATTATAAATCATTAAGCAGTACTTTCTAAGTTGCCGAAATAGATAAGAACTGCAGCTGTGTACGTTGTTGAAGAAGACGATCCTGTCCCTCCACCAAGCATCAAACAAGCACTTGATGCAGCGAAACTATTAAAAAAATACTTTTTATATAATCAAATTGATCCAGCAGTATCTCAAGATATGAGTAAGATACGTAACAAAATACAATTAAAATATTGGAGCAGCAAAAAACATCAGACGAAGATAACAGGCTATACGCAATGTATGAATAATAATGTTCGTGTGCAAAATGTGTACTATATTGGTAAATGCATATTATTATAGAATAGTAAAATAATATCTTTTATTTCTTTCCATTTAACGACCACTCTTTATAACGCCGAAAAATGTTGAGTTCCTTAAGTGTAGTTATATAGAGGAGTTTACACTGTATATATAGGGTCATCAGAAAATTGTAGATATAGGGTGATCGAAAATAGGACGCTATCTTGATGACGTAGTACATTAGAACCGACCTATCTATACCCATCAAAATTATCAAGAATGCGAGACATTAAAAAAAAGATGAATGACAATCACCTACTGAATAATCGATTGGTTGTTATACGGTATTATTTCCATTAATTTTAAGTTTAACAGAGAGGGGTATACGATGCTTCTACATAACCTATAAAAACGTACATAAAGAGAGGTTAGGTAGATATGATGTGCAGGACCGTTGCCAAATCTTGGAACGCCATTTCCCGGAACGGAGAACATCAATAAAAGAAGTCGGTTGACTTGAACTGAAAGAGAATGAGACGGCTTGGCCAGATAGATTTAATAAAGGAATAAAAAGTGACAAACACGAGGAAATTCGGATTTACTTTTCGGATTGAATTGAATATTGCACTTAGACTGATGAGAGCGAGGTTTTTCAAAGGGGCTCATCGTACCGAGAGAATTTGCCTCCCGAAATATTTTTATCAAACTAACGGGGTCTAAATTGAAATGATTGGAAAACTCATTATTGACTCGGAGATAAATATTCCCGCTGTGCCAGCCATAAAAGACAGAATTAAAACCGCCTGGAACGTAATTAACGTTTTTGAAGTACGGACTTGGCAATGACTAATTCCGCAGGGGTCTGTTTGTTTTAAATATTGCGTTTATATAACAGAATTAATTACTTTAAATATTGGAGAACCTTCTAACTTTCCGATCGGATAACTTTTTAAACACAAAATTAAACAGATTATTTTCACGTCTGTTATTGAGACATCTTTCGATGGTTGATCGTAACAGAATAAGTCACGTTTTTAGGAAATACGACGGGAAATAAAAAAAATATTTTCTGTCTTTTAATACTCGCAATAAGTCTGAAATATTAATCTGAATATGTAGTGAGTAAAATTTTCAGATTAATATTTCATATTAAACTAACTCACTTCGAAAAAGTTGTCTGAATTTGTATTTATGTTTAATCATAGTATATTCAGTATATACGTACAGTTACTTAGTACGACGGATCGTTAACCTTGTAGGTCGGTAGGTCGTTGTTGCTGTTGTCACCTTTCGTAGTTTAGTGGTCAGAACATTGGTGTGTAAAGCCAAAGATCCCGGGTTCGATCCCCGGCGGGGGTGTGACAACAGCAACAATTTTTCCCTCATTAATTTGGGGTAGCGTGCAGTGGGTAAAAAATTCAAAAGAATGAATTTTCAGTATAATATTTCGTATTAAACTAACTCACTTTTAAAAAGTTGTCTAAAATTGTATACATGTATGTTCGCAATAAGTCGTTTGCACCATTCAAAACAAGAATACAGTGCACCCTGTACATCATGTCTGCAAATCCTCAGAAACACCCTGTATCTTTACGCCTACCTATCATATTGTTCATTAATTTTTGCTTTTACATTTGTTATAGTTTCTTTGGTGGAGGGTAGCGAGTTTCATTTGAATCGGGTCACTAGATTGCATATGGGACCCTATCTCTGCATTGCCTCCAACGGCGTGCCACCCACGGTCAGCAAAAGAATCATGCTAATAGTCCAGTGTAAGTAATTGGCTATCTCTCCTCTACCCCTCTCCGCACCCCATTCGATGTGCCGCCACGGCTTTATTTGTGTTTTATAGTAATTGAAATGAAACAGACCAGTTGCGCTTTGCAACTATTGTCAATAACGTATTTCCCAATCAGGACGAAAACAAAGTCAAAATATTATCGCCATAAAGAAAAGATAGCAAAAGAATTCTGATATTTCGAAAAATACGAATTTCTCTGAAGGCATTATTCTATTAAGAAACATAAATAAACCACTCGGTGCAAGGGCGGAAAATAGCGTTTTCCTTTTATGATAATGCACGGTCACACTGTGGCCAAAACGGCGACAGACATTCTCAAACAATTCATATCTACTATTCTAACTTATCGGGGGTTGAAAATGGATTTTCCGCGTATATTCTACTTTTTTTTTTTTGAAGCAAAATCGCTTTTTTGATTTCCATCAATTTCGTTTTAAGCGAGAGCATCAGCTCGTTGTTATTAACCTTTCCGTTTACGATTAAAATTGAAGCAAAAGTTCACCGACGACTGATGTGAAAATCAATAGTCTGTGCAGTGCTAATTACTATGTAGATTTAATTAAGGCACACTTCGAAACTTGCTACCTGGGCTCTCTATTTAATATTTTGAAATTGAAACTTCGTAGCGTTCGCTTTAAGTGACGACGTTCCTCGAGTTTGCTGAAGAATTATTCATCATTCAGCAGCTTCGCCGGTTTAGATCGAGCGAGCCATTGCACAATAGTTACCCCTCCTACCCGTTGGAAACTTTACCCTTTAGCAAGGATCCGACAGGTAGACGTTGGTGGGCGCTGTAATTTAAATGTAATTGCCAAAAACAATCGCTCAGATTAAACAGAGCTTAGATCATTTTTAGTCGAAAACCGTTTCCCGAATATCTTACATTTTGAACACTCATTTATCGTTCAAGTAAATTTAGAGATTAAATAAATTCGATAATGCAACCTTTCCAGAATTATTTTAAAATTCCGATATAATCAATGGGGTCTTTTAACTTACGAATGGAGGTTTCCTTACGACGTAATTTATTTCGTTTAATTTTGACTTCGTCATATGTCTTATAAAGAAGAGAGGGCCCATTACGCTTCCTTGCGGGACCGCTCTTGTAACATCTTATTTTGACCGTTCGCTTTTTATTTGTAAAATAGTTCTCTATTAATTTATGTGTTAGGTTTCCAAAACCAATCTAGTATGCCTTTCTTCCTTTAATTAGAACTGCTTTGTTCATTCGTCTATCATTGTCTGACATTAAAGTTACTTCCTCTGGTATTGTATAGTTCCGCCGATGATTTGGATTCAGAATCAACTGGTTGGCGCCAGCGAAAAACAGGAAGTCACCCTGGAATGTTATTCCGAGGCCTATCCCAAATCAATTAACTACTGGACAAAGGACGATGGCCGTATCATTACCCAAGGTAAGAATTATTATTATACCCTTACTGTGACTGAAAGTTTGTCAGAAAATAATTAAAGAATTGGATAATCTTTACTCAGTCCATTGAGGAACATGCTTACAGAATACATGAATAAAATATTCTAGACGTCTTAGCTTTCACGATCCAAGTCTGAAAACATTTTGATCGCGCCCTGTACGAACTATGAAATAATAGACATGAAGCGAATTTAAAAGTACAAAATTGAAATAAATTGCTACTAATAACAATTCGTAGAAAAGAAACGAGGAACAATTAATTCCCGGGAGCTTTAGCTGTAATAGATGTAACATATTTTGTTATACGAGCTTCCATCGTTGCTTTTAAGTTACTGCCTTGAAATATCTAAAACGTTTTCGTTCACTTGCNAATAAATTGCTACTAATAACAATTCGTAGAAAAGAAACGAGGAACAATTAATTCCCGGGAGCTTTAGCTGTAATAGATGTAACATATTTTGTTATACGAGCTTCCATCGTTGCTTTTAAGTTACTGCCTTGAAATATCTAAAACGTTTTCGTTCACTTGCTGTGCAACTCAAAGTATTTAAATTGTATGTCCATTAACCCAGCCAGTACGGCTTTTTCCACTTTAAAAAGCTCTGAAAGCCCATTTATGTTAGACAGACCTACAGAAAGCAGCATTAAGTATTTTTCCTAATTATATATATATATACATATATCTGCCTGCTCCATCAAAAGCTAACGCACGATGAAATTCTAATAATTCATTTCGACTCGAAACATAACAGCAACTATTCACATTTTTTTAAATTCATGTTCATCGTATTACTAATTGTGATCTAACGATAGCAGAAAAATAAATAAGGAAACAAACTGTAAAGAAAGCAGCAAATTATCTCAATCCATTCCTCAAAAATTATATTTAATTATTTTTTCAGTTTTATGTCAGTAGACAGAATGTACAAGTATTTAACATTAGTGGTGTAGTCGAATAATCGAATGTTAAATATTAACCTGTGAAAGACGAAATCTCGTGGGGATTCCCCTGCTTATATTGTCGTGTATCGCATCACCATGTGTGTTCCCGATTGTCTCTCATTCTTTGAGAGATTGTTGTTGCGGTTGGAGTGTTTGAAATGTTTTTGTAAAGGTGTCATCATCATAAGGTCGTCAGTCCTAAGACTGGTTGGACAGGCACCTCCACTCTTTCCTATCCTGACTCGACCTTCATGCCTACCAACCTATCTCGCTCGCCTGTTTCTTATTGACTTCCATATTGAGCCCTTTGTTCTCCTATTTTTTCTAACAGCTCTTCATTTCTAATCTTCTCTATCCACGGTATCCCCATCATTCCCCTGTAACACCACATTTCGAACACTTTCGAATCTCTCTCTCTCTTTCGAATTTCTAAATTAACAGTTCGCGAGCATACAACTGACTTCTTTTTCTTTCTTCTGCTTTATATCCCTACTGCTCTTTCGGTCCTGACTTATCTGACTTCCTAGTGACCTAAAATCGGCCACTTTTTCTAATTTTGTAAAGATGTACGAGAAATAAATAATAAATGACGTTTAGCTCGCATTGCGCAATGACCTGACTTCAAGAGATGGCAAAGGAATAATTATTCTGCCTTGACTCCACCATGTCTCGGAAAAAAACCATAGTGACGTCCCTGCAATCGACATTATACAAGATGGACTTAACTTTGTAAAGTAAGAGGACGTAAAGTATCTGAAACAACTTTTGAGGTTTGTTGAATTAATAAGTAAAAAGGGTAACTGCAACAGACTAGGATAAAATTGGCAGCGAATTTCGGTCTGTTTGGCAGATGATCCGTTTAGACGAGGCAAAACGAGTTCGAAATGTAAAACATCCTCAAAGGAAACATATATATATATTAGAGTTGATGGAAACCACATTCGCTTTAACTTTTGTTCGAATATATATTAACATTTAATATCAGACCATAACCGATTTCAAAGCTAAAGTAATCACGTATGCCACTTACTCAAAACAGTTAATATTTAGAAAATAATTGGCTACTCTGAAATTATACAGGACTCTATTGACAACAGTGGGTTTAAGAGTTGTGGTATATTTCCTCATCATACATTAGAGCTCATGTGAATTGATTTCTAGAGTCACTTACTAGGATTCATACAGTTACGTAATGTCAAGCGGGTGAAATCTTAGGAGAATAAGGATTACGTAAACTTTCCTATGACGTAGAATGGTGTCTTTACAGCAAGGACTACATTCTGAATATAATACAGAAACAATGAGACAAGGCGCCGTATTATACACATACCTATCCTGTAGTCCTTCGAGATGGATCCCTTTACAATATTGTTCTCTAATTTAGGTAGGAGTTACAGTGAAACGCGTAACTTGGATTGTAGACGCTGCAAAGTGAATGCTGTACATGCAGTTACACGTGTTCTAATTTAATTTTCAACTATATGAACAGAAATTGTAATATCATAATTAGCGCTAAGAAGATGCAATAGTCGTTGTCAAGTAAAAACAGAGCCGTTTGCGTTTCATGTAGGAGGAACCTATAATAGCAAGCTTTTATAATATTCTGGAATATTGGTGAAATAAGTATCTAATAATATAGTGTTTATATTACTCGTTAAAAAATTAATTTTAACCGATTCACTATATAATATGTAGTCACATTCTGTTTGGATATTTAATGATGTTAATTTCTCAATTATCTAGTAATGTAAGTTTATTTCCTATGATTTCCATGTCCTTCTATGACGTGATTGACGTACCTAGATGGTATCTGTCTGGTTTTTAACGTAACTGTTTGATGTTCTGTTAAACGTTTCTTCAAATTTCCACCAGTTTGTCCTATATAAACCTTTTGGCAAAACCCACACGTTAGCTTTTGTAAGTGCAATTGTATTTAGGAAGTTTTATTTATTAACCCAAAAGCTCTCTGGAATTTGGAATAGTGATGATAACGACAATAATATAAATGTGACTTTTTTGAAGATTTCGTTTTGGCTATGATCATTTTTAGTAAGAAACATTTGTAGTGGTAATGATAATCTTCCAAATGATCTTCCGCCTTTTTATAATCTGATAAAGAAGACGTTTGGCTTTATTTCGCCTGAAACTGCTTTCCCGTATTAGTTTATTTGCGACATCTATTCTTTGAAGTAGCTATTAGTGTGTAAAATTGCCTGTTATCCAATCTGTTCCCTTTTTATTTCGCAGGGGCAAAATACGAGCCGCACATGGACGACAATGCATACAAAGTGCACATGAAATTGACAATTCGAGCGGTGAGCGCAACCGATTTCGGATCTTACAAGTGCATCTCGAAGAATTCGTTGGGCGAAACAGATGGCACCATAAAACTTTATCGTGAGTACAATTTTATTCTGTTGCCAATTTGACCGTAAGCCTTTCCGCTCTTGTTAATAACTCCGTATTCTTCTCTTTCATTCGAATCAGTTGTTTAGTCGGTCGAGGTCGGCACGACGAATAGGAATAATAAATCCACATTGTGTACAATTTCGAACATAAAATGATGAACTTTTATGATGTAGGGATGAATAGAAAACCGACTAGAAGATAAAAAGAAACAATGCACAATGCCATCGTCATCATCAAAAGATTGTCAATGCTAAGACTGCCTCCTACCCTGAACCAATCCTTCCGTTTCCCAAAACCTAGAAGACTCCACATCCATAACCATTTGCGAGAAGTAATCTAATCCAGGTCCTCTCCTGTCTCTCATTACTTTTAATTCTATTACCAATAAGTCTCAGAAGATATCGTACCATCATATCCATCATATTTCTTATTGGCTTCCATTGCGTCATTTGTTTTCCTACTCTATCCAATACTGGTATTTGGTATTGCAGTATTAGTACATCCTAACATTGAAAAAAGTAAGCTTATAATTAGCACTCGCTAATTAGGTATTTTGGCAATCTTTAAATTGCCGAAAAAGTGGCTCCACGACTGGATTCTTCTCTTTAGAACAGTGATTTCGAAACTGAGGGTAAATCAATTATTCAGTGGGGGAAACAAAGAACCTAATAAATACGTAGCTAGATTAGCTACATTATTAAAAACGAAGACGTAGCGGCCAAAGTGGGATATCTTGGACTACGCCAGAATAATACTTTCAGAGTAGAATTTCAAAATTATGATTATGACGAAAAGATGGTACTGAATATCCTACTCTAGCTAACAGAGCTTTAAAAATGTCAATACCCTTTGTCACCACCTATAAATGTGGGAATGGGTTTTTGAAAACAAAAATCAAAATCCTTCTAAATGTGGAACATGACTTAGGATGCGCTTTAAGCAAAATTAAAGATAACATAAAAAAATTTGAAAAACGCAAAATAATACCAGCCGTCACACCAACTATCTTTACTTAATTTATTGTTTAGATATATAAAATTGTAAGAATGATGTGCAATTCGTGATAATTAAAGATATTTGTATTTGCTTGTGTTGTTTGTATTGATAACATTTTAAGGTGGCGGTTAAAATCGGTTTTCCTAACAGGTCACAGGGGTAACAATATTAAAAAGGTTACGAACCACTGCCTTAGAAGGTTCGACTCGCGGACAATCTTAAATATTCGAGAACATTCAAGTAGATAACAGTTGAGCAGGTACAGTCTCAGTTTTATCCAGATTTATATGTAGTACTAAAAACCATCCCCACAACTCATACATACTGATTCTCGAACATTCCAGAATGTTCTCGACTTGAAACACGAAAATATCCTAAGTGCATTGGTCAACTATCTTCAACCCCTGTATCACCCACACCCTTATAGCTATCGACAAATGACAACTATACTTAAAATTCGAAAAACAAAACTGCTGTGTTCAATTTTTATAAAAACAAGTACAAAGCAAATATCTCTTTGTGGCCGTTTCAAATTTATCGAAACACAATTCGTTATTAAAGGCAGCAACACACAAATGCCATAGCTTATTACGGTCCTAAATTTTCAATATTTGTTTCTGTTTTTGATCCTGTTCCGCCTCCCTTTAGAAAAACGCCGAGTCGTCTACAAAACCTATATAATTCAACAAACAAATAAGCAGATTTCAGTTTCCAGTGTTATTATTTAAAAATTTCATTCTTTTGTNTGTTCCGCCTCCCTTTAGAAAAACGCCGAGTCGTCTACAAAACCTATATAATTCAACAAACAAATAAGCAGATTTCAGTTTCCAGTGTTATTATTTAAAAATTTCATTCTTTTGTTAGCTTCTGTTCTTGTGTGCGATAGCGAAAAGTAGACAGCGTGCCTAGACGTAGGATTATACGAAGCGCAGCGAATTGAGTCAAAATAAAGCACATAATCTCTTAAATAATCTCCGGCAGCTTCCTGGTTCGTCGCTCGCGTCGACGTATAAAAAAGAAAACGACCAGAGTTTAAGGATTACAACTGGTACGTTCGAGAGCTTTACCTGTTCGATTTTTATAAACACCGCTTTATGTGAAAAAAGGTGTGAAGTGAAGAAGGGATTTATTCAATTGATAATTTAAAAAATATCAATCGTTATGTTGACTCACATAATTTTTGAAAGTTAATTCACTTCTTCAATTCTTCATGGACGCAAACTTATGTGTGACTTTCTTCACCCTTAATTCAAACAGCAAAAGAACTTTCCTATAAAGTATTCCGATGGGAAATTTAATTTTCCACAATTGTAAAAAACATCCAAGTACATAATTTTTGAGTTATTGTGAAAAAGTTGTGTCGTAAATAACGAAAAGGAATTAAAAATCGTAAAACACTGATAAAAAAATATAACCATTTTCCTTTTTTCCTGCTTTTCAACTTGTTACATTTACTCCCTCAATCAGATCCGAAAAGTGTTTCGCGAATTCCACCTTATTCAATTTTAAAATGATAAAAATTGCATACGCTTTCACTCATTAAATATGCACGCCAAACGACTTTATCCTGATAGTAAAACCAGTTTCTTTATGTGATAAATTATTTTCAAAGGTAGGCTGGTTGGTGGCCTAATTCGTTTACATGGAAATCTGTTTTGAATATTTGAAAGGGAAACGTCGAGCTCTTCTTCGAATCCAAACGCTGTTGTATAAAATACGAAAAATGCAACGTTCGTTTCTGACAGTTCCAAAACGGACTTTTCTGTAAAAGGTAGCGCGCGAGTTTCATTTGATGCTATCTTGCTTTCATGTCGCAGAGCGTATACCTCTGCTCAATAATTTGTCATACACGCTATTTGTTACGTGCTCTTGTTGTTGTCAAAATCATCCCGCTTTGTAGCATCCGGAATAACGCAAAAAAAACACACACAGGCGGTTTACATTTTAGGTCTGCAATTCGAAATTTTACTATTCAAGATTCACTTTCTGTCAAAAATATCCATGCACCTACCATTCTCTGCTAAAAGAACAAAAAACAATTTTAATGGTACACGGTGTTCTCTTAATACGTCGCCATGAGTAACGTCATATTGTGTTTTAATTTTTGCTATAAAAAAAAGTTTTAATGAAATCATGAGAAGACCATTAAAATCTTCCTCTGGTTGTACATACTTTATTTTGAGTACGTCACAGCTGAATTCGCTGCACAGTTATCACAAATATTCTAACGTGAACTAACCAGGAAGTCCTGTATTTCTTTCAATTGACTAGAAAAGGAATTTTCAGTTATCAATCTTCTGACATTGGTATTTTTAACCAGGGTTATGCATGACGAACTTGCTGGAAGTGATAGCAATAATTGCTCATTAATTTAGAATTTCAAAATGAGACGAGGACACAGATCCACCCGGTTAAATAACGCAGTAGCACGATGAGACAAGGGCGCACGGTACAAAGATAATTAAACGATAAACGAAGGCATTCAATGAAGCGAATATCTCTTACAACCTGTTTGGTACGTAGACACAATCGGTAAACTTTTCAACTGACACAACATCGACGTATTCGACACGAATTGGTCTCAGTTTTAATGAACTTCTATTGGAAAACATTAAATTACTTGGACCAACTACAATAATTACGATTCCTCCATTTGATGAAGCCACGCTTGTACTTGCAATTAGAGTGCTATTTTATCGAATATGTTCACGTTGGTGTATTTTTGTGTTGTGCATTCAAATTTTGTTCATGAATACTTTCGATTTAATATGGTTCTAAACATTCATATTCTCATTCGGCGTATTTCTATTGCAACGGTCCTCAACGCAAGGCACAATAGATGGTGGTAACGGAAGCTGACGCCTTTTTCCATTTGGTAGGAAACGCATCCGCTTCCGTTTCCAACGGATTCATTTTCCGACGGGATCGGTAGAGAGCTTTGTGCTTCCGGTTCCACCACACATAAACGTAAAATATTATCGTTAAACCTATGAAAAGTTTACTGAAAACCATTTCAGTTTTGCTTCAAACGATTTCTTTCACGTTTATTAGATATAAATTGATGCCTTGTTTTGTTTGCATTATCAACAGGAGCTCATAATGTTAACGAGAAGGATAGACAATGCAATTTAAAATAAGATGCTACATAAAGGACTTTGTCAAGGTAAATTTGCTGTGAAAAGCGGAAAGGAGTCAGGACAACAATCTCGTCTGAAATTCTCTTTCTAACTGAAGTTCTTTGTATAACCTGTGCTAAAGTAAGTGATTCATTCTTCATGGGTAGCAGGTCAAAAGGTTATACTTCTGAAAAAATGACAAGACCTCATCAGGAAATAACGATAAGTAATTCTTGTTCGGCGAGCCCTATCGGACATCTTATATTTACGGGTATTGGCCGATTGAAACGGAAAGTGATTTGGACAAGAGAACCGTTCAAAAGCACTTCCTATCATAATCTTGAAAACAACGCCGCCGAGTAAACAAAATAGAAACAGTGGAGTAGTTGCTAGCAACGATAAAGTGTTGCCGGTCGTATCAATAAAACGCTGAAGTACATCCCAAGGGGAACGAGAACGGAAAAACAAATAGGATGGAGTCCTCTGAGGATATTGTTAACACACGCGAATTGATAGAAAGGATTTAGAGCACGTTCTACAAGGATGAATTTACTTGATTGATTTTGTTGTGAAAGGGAGCAAAAGAAATTACAAGATCACACAATTCAAACGAAAACAACATTGTTTCAGTTGTCCAAAGATCGATTAAGCTAAAATGGAAACAAACACTGGTCTGGAGAAGGCAGTGAAAATTTGTATGTCGTATCGTCAGAGTGGTACAGCAGTTGAGTCCAATAAATACTGGATATACGTATGTGAATTAAGCGAAACTCATACCGAAAAGGAGATAGTTAAAGAAACGGAAACATATAAATAATGTCAGATAGGAAAAGTTTGGTCTATAAGGCTAAAACTAAGCTTTTTGGTCACACTGTGAATAATGGGTACGTTCGAGTTTACACCATCACTGTAATTTAATTCAAGTTTGTAAAATTGTCGACGTAAAATTCTGTAAAACTTAAAGAACCTAAAATCATGATGTTCTTCTGATTTGGAAGACCTTAAATTCACTCCGTTTCGTAATAAAGTTTGGATCAATTTGGATTTAACTGCTACAGAGAGAGAGAGAGTAAGAACGTCTTGTAAATATTACAAAAATTCAATCCAATTTAGATTTCTCAATATCCTTATGAACAACAAACAAAATTTAATTATTTTCACCTGCCGCTTCTTAATTCTATGGAATGGCTGATGTACAAATATGCGTTTAGTCGGTAATTTCCTTAAGTGCCTCCTTGCCAGTGAAATAACCACAAAACGAACCTTATCAAAATTAATTTTCTATGTAGCCGAGGTGAAATACATATTTAATATGCTTTCGGACAGATACGTTTAAATACTAACGATAATCTTCGAACATTATCTACAAGTTAATAAAACGACTGGCATTTGCTATCGGATTATTCTCTGTTGCTAACTACCTACTACTATTAACGACAGTTTCATAATCGACAAAACTTACTTACTTGGCGTAAGTTATTAGATTTCGGTGTATAGTTAGTTCACAAGACCAGGTCATATTACATACGTTTACTGTGTATGGTTATATAATGAAATCTAAATGACATTTGGAACTTGCCAGTAAAATGAAATGATAAATAAACCAATTTAAAAATCCTGCAATAGGACAAATGGTGATAGATGGAATAAATGCGCGACTTCAAAGTCAAATAACTCACTGATTTCTTATTATATTTCACATTGAAGTGAATGACAAATGACGCCAAATCTCCCTTTGATATTCGTTATACTATAGATTATAGGGAACCACCATTATTAAAATGAAGTACCCATCCATCTATATTTGGACGGGCTCAACTGGTATACAGATAATTTTCGTTCAAGACATTACTTGAAAGTTTTTCCATTTCACTCAGAGTGCTAAATATATTACTGATCGATGACGAGTTTTCTAGAAGCTTTTAATCGAAACAAAGCCAATGATTTTGTTGTTCTAAAGTGATACATTTCCGGATCGTTGTTTTTTAGCAATTTCATGAGAAATGGCAAAGTCGTAAACTTTTAATTACGCGTTTTATGTGCCGATAAAATGTTAATGCCATGGAGACGCTTTCTCTTTTGTAAATTCAGTGTGTAACAAAAATATAAAATAACTTGATAATAATTTATTATGGCATCGTTTCGATGGGCGGTTAAGTTGGAACAAAATAAAAATAAGAACGGGGACGGTATCTCAGAATTCAAAAATAAAAACCAGCAACCTTCCAAAAGAAACAAGGTTATAGTTGAGACGTTTAAAATTGGCATAGTCCCCAATCAAACTGTCGCATTTAATTTCTTCTTTCAACTTATTAGCTAGAGTAGAGCGGTTGCTGACAGAACGCCTACTTTTATTCGCGACAGACGTTGTAGGTGTAGGGAATACCGTAAATATAGAAAAGAGATGTCAGGTAGGAATTGCAGCGGACACTAATAAAGAAAAGGCAATAACATTACACCAGTTAATGTGTAACAGAAAGAGACGCAGACAGGCAGAATTTGAGCATGTCGTCAGCATCGGACTTTAAAGAAAGTTCAACATTCTCAGGAATTTAGGAAAGCAAAGAGTTTTGCTTAAAGATATAATTCCAACGAGGCAGTTAAAAAAGCCGACCCTGATCTTTGGCCTACATCTAACCGCTGCATCGCTTAGTATTATCCGGTTATCTCTTTTCATGAAGCATTTCCTAACTTAACAACAGCGTGATCAAAACACACCAAACGACCAAGTGGAAACAAGAAAGAAGATACGTCCATTTTCACAGACAATTTTTTGCAGACTTTGCCAATTTTGGTCGCACTAACTATAGTCAATAAAAGAATTGGGGAACATTTTCCGCAGGAATACTTATAAAAGTACCTACTTATAAAGGACAAGGAGGTTTACAAAAAGAATTTTCATGTTCGTTCCACTGATTTTTCATTTACTTTCATATACGCAAGGCCAATACCTTAAGAGATAGGTAAATTTATTACTTATTGCAAGATGTTTTTAGATTTTGAAGTATGCATACGTACAATAGAGAAATGTACATCTTTTTTGTTGTTGTTCGTGTTTTCGTTTCAAAGTATTTTTCCACAGTTTATTCGATTTCCTCGATTTGCATTAAATATACCGCGGTTTCATAGAGAAAGAGATTTTGTAAGCACCACACCATACACTCGAATAAAGCCTCTTTAACGTGTTAAATCCAATAAATTCTCCTTTATCGGGACCCGGCTTCCGAATGCAAGCGCCCCAAGAAAGGCAATGCATCCAACACGATTAACTGCGCAACCTTATCTTTATAGCGTTGTAAAATCTTTTAAAGTCGAGGAAATGGCATACCTTATATTCGTACGTTTGAAATGTGACCAGGTCCATAAAGGAAATCAAACAAATATTTTTGTGGTTAATTGCAAACGTGATTACCGAATGTTGAGTATTGTACAGACGACGCGATATAACAGGTCATCATTGGACAGTTACATTTGCAACTGTATAATATGTACAATCTAGGCACTTATCTGCCCCTCTATACTCCTGTTTCCGATTTTAGCGTATCTGTTCATTGATCTAATAGCCCAACTGCTTTGGGTGGAGATGTTTCTAATGGAAAGAGAAAACTACTGGAACATTTCTATAAAGTGTTTGGTAAATTGAAATAACAACTTTCGCAAAGCTTTTCCATCCTCGAAAAAGAAATAGTGTCCACTTGAAAATGTTGGATTGGTAAAACGCAGAAATTGCTTCTATATGTAGTCTGACATTAAATTGAACAGACTCAAACGTTTAACACTTTCAACACAACAAGGTATTAATTTTATAAATACGAACCAGCTTTCCAAATTTTGGAATCTCATGTACTATAGTTGATGAGGATACCGTGGATACCTTCTCAGGCATGAAGATCTATTCAGTGACATATTAGAGACAGAAACGGGAGTTAGGAAGGGTAGAGGTACACCTAGATTAGACTACTGTTCGCAAATAGTTAAGGATGTGGGATGTTTTAGTTTTAAGGAAATGCGAAGATTAGCTCAGGATAGGAATGAGTGAAGGTGCGTGTCCAACCAGTCTTAGAACTGACGACCTTATAATGATGATGTACTATACTCAATACTTTTTTCTTTTGAAATATGTTTCTGATATTAATTCTAATTCGAGATCAGTTAAAATATTCTTTTCATTTAACGAAAATAATTCTTTTACAGATACATTTCAATATTAAAAATTCCGCGAAATGGTCGAAGTCCTGGTTGATTATCAAATTTATTATTCGTTTCGCTGTTTCAGATGTTCCATCAACGTCGCCTCCATCGTCGGTCACCAAGGCAACGGAAATTTTGTCTTCTAGAAGAAGTAATATTAGAGATGGCGGTAAGGTCTTTTAAAAACTTCACGAAGACGTAATTCTCTCGTTCGTTAATTATTTTTAAGGGCAAAAGAAACGGCGTCCAAGTTACAATCGACTTGAAACTGTCAGATAACGTATTCAATAACGTTGATTATACTATTTAAAAATAATTTATTAATTTCTAAATCTCAAATATTCCACGTATAGTGTATATATATTAAGAAACATTTTCTGATTAAGGTAATTCAGTTCACAACGGATACATGGAGGACGGTAGACACACTAAGTCAAAGGACTCACCGGAGCAAGCAGTGCTTGCAGGAACAGGTGTGTTGAATGCCTTAAACTTTCATTATATGCATCTTAGCTTCTCAACACAAATTTTTGAGTTCAAACAGCTTTATACTCGAAAACCGTGCGGGATGTAGGGTCCTGTAAACGTTGGCTAGTTTCGACTTAACTAGATAAAAATTTAAAATGAAAACGCCAAGATTTCATCAATTTCTTGTTGCATTTTACGACATATATTGAAAGATATCCTATCCAAAGGGGTAAATGAAAACAAATTTGAGGGGGTTGAAAAAATTATCTTCAGTAGATAGACTATCTTCGTCAAAGACGAAAATCCCATGTATTTTCTTCATTGTTATCTCCTCCACGCCTAGACAGACTCCATAACTTAGCTGCTGGCGAAGCCCTGAACGTTGACTGACATGACAGCCGATAGTCGTGACGTCAGAGTAGGCGAGGAAGGGGTAAATTTGAACAAGGTCAAAAATTATCCTTCATAAGAAAATCTTTCAAAAAATCTCCTACTTTCTGTTTTCGATGGGAAGACTGTAACATACAGACATAGGAGCGGATGGACATACAGTTCTGGTTGGCTACGGAACCCTATAGAAGGGCGTTAATATATTTGACTAAAACTATTCTCCTTTCGCAGATCACCTATTGCAAAATGGAGCTACGTCGGCCAAAACGATAGACCATCAGCTAACGGTAATATCGAGCACATCAGCGACAAATGCTCGAAGTTTTTGTACCACTTTGTTTAGTGTTTCCCTCATATCAATCTTCATTCTTAATATTTAAACTACATAAGACCATTCTATGTACAGTACATACAAAGAATAAGAAGAAATATAATCCAAAAAATCCAAGTGATATGTATGTATAAATAATAGCTAGTTCATTTGAACATTTACATTAACCTAAACGTAGAATCAGTATTAATCATTACATATTTTAAAGATTTCCTTGTCTCTAATCCGATAACGAGATGTCTCTATTATTATTAAGCTACTATTAACATCACTGTACTACAAAACGTTTTTCTTCTAAGAAAATACTTTTATTATCTCCATATGATTTTAAATGCCTACAATAATAATAATTTTCTGTATATATTGTAAAGCTGAATTTTTAATTTTACCTAAAGTTAGTTAAATTTCAAATACCCAAGTGTTGTAATTTAGATTTACTTCGATTTTTAAATGGTGATAAAAGTGTGTACTATCTCAAAAATCTATTTTAAAGCTGTACATGATTGTTCAATAAAATATACATATTTTAGCGCAGTTTCTGTCGAGATAACTTTTAAACAAATTACGACATCGAAATCCAGTGATAAGGATTTTCAGATAAACACCTGCTTCTACTTATTACAAATCGATAAAAAAAATATCCAACCGTAGTAACACCGATCGACATAAAATACTATCAGAAGTATTATTGAGAAACTTTTCATTTGTTAACTATTTTTATTGTTCTTTCCACAGTGTGCATTTACAGTATTATCAATTTAAAAATAAATAAATGTCATGTTACCGTACTTAAACATAAGCGTAACGTAAGAATCGTCATTCACTTTTGTCCTTTAAATTCATCACCAATTCTTCTTTCATGAGAAGGTAATTTTCACCCCTGTGAGCGGCAGGATTTTCAGACATCCTCTCCTCCAATTCGTTCTTCAGTTCTTCCTCGGTTGCTTCACAAATGGGTTTCCCATCAAAGTTATCTTCATTATAAATCATGTCTTTACGTCTGTATGTCCCATGTATCTACAAATCGCACTGTAGTAATCAAGGAATAAAACATAAGAAGAATTTGCATCTTTGCAGGTAGGTTTTTATGTCAATTTAGAAAATACTTTTGTCGGCCTAAGTACGGCTCTTATATCTGCGAAAGACGCCCAAAATATTTACGTACGTTACGTACCTTATCCCAAATTTCACAATTAAAACCATAGTTAACGTGAAAATATTGATGGTGGTTATCATGGAACATGGTATCGGGTTGCCACGGTTGCCACCATGATGCTTTGAAGTCTATTCCGGAATGGTTAATTATTCCATTGTAATAGACGTAAAGGCAAACGGCATAGAAAGTCGCTAGAAAGAATTTTTGTATGAAAATTAAGCACGCACGTATTTCTTCTTCGTTTTTCTACGAATAAAGAAGAGACTTACCCCAGTGGCAGGGTATGATAAATAAGGGCAGTGCGTAATTGAGCTCCAAGTGAACCGATTCAACGGGATGGATTGCTGTGACGGAAAATGCCGTTGGTTGCTTGTACTTGTGATGGAGCTTGTGGAAATGCTTGTAAAGAAACGGCCTGTGATATAAGCGATGCAACAGGTAGGTACTGTAGTCCTGTTTATTATAATATGAAAAAAAAATCCTATTATTTTAAATGTACAATAGAATCTATGTACTAAATGGTATACATCTGGCATCAACGAAAGGTAAAAAGGAAACTCATAGACATCGAAAAACTTCAAGATGGCATGTCGAAACGATTAAAAGTACAAGACTATTTCACTGGCTAAACCCATATAGTTCATTAAATTTCATTTTTCAATAGATTCTTAATTATAATGACGTGTATCGTCTACATTTAAAAAGCAAAACCTCTCAACATCGGCTAGTGAAAATTGTACGAAGATTTGGCTTTATGAATTATTTAAACAAATATTTCCGTAGTTTGGATCTTTCCTATTAGCGGAATTCCTTATTCAATATAATTATTAGTTACTCTTAATTGTTAGCACATATATCTAATTATGAAAAGATTCCAGTCATTTAACTATTAAACAAACCAGAAGATAAATCTTGTGGCGCATTCGCCAAAGAATTTATTAATAACGAAAGACAAATCTTGCGTCGTTTACCCGGGGAAATGGAAAGTATATAATCGCTCTGGGAACAGTTTTCGCGACACTCGCAACAAATTACGTTTAATGCACCTGTTCTCCGACAGTATACAACATAAAAGCATTTCCACCCCAAAAAGAATATATTTTCTTATTAATAATACTTTAACTGGAGCTGCGCGAGTTAAATTTTGGTACTGCTTCGGTTCGGTCGGGAATGGGTAGATACTATACATATAAGATCGCGGCAATGTCGTAATCCTCTTAGCGAAAACATCTAATGAGGACGGATGTTTCGGGAGGATTACTAAAAGCTCCTCTATCTACCACTAATAAGCGGCACCGTTAGCGATTATAAGTTCGGAATTTATTAGTTTTATCCGGGGCGACCGCGGAAAACTTCTTCCGGAACTTACCAGGGGCTTGTTAATTACCGCTACCAAGGTAAATAATATACGTATAGTCTATGTATAATACAAGCGACGACGAGGGACGTGTGCATTCTTGCCTAGGGCGTAGGTTGGTTGCCTTCGGCGATGGCCATTTATTCGCTAGGTCGAAAACTGCAGCTTAATGAGTTATAAGCGCAAATTAGACGCTGCCTTGTCGAGGGAAAACAAATTAAATCAGTTTTTCCTGGAAAATACTCTTGATAACGAGTTTTGAAGATACACACGTTCTATTCCAAAAAGAATACCTTCAAGCAAACTAGGCCCTTTTGACTCCCGAGTGCTCCTGAGGTATAGCCCAGGAGATCCTCGTTACTCCTGCGAAGATGAAGGGGCTTACTATGGGATTGGAACGAAGAAGAAAAGGAGAAAGCAATATGGGTTATGATTACTTTCTCGTATTCATTAAAGGGTATGGAGCGACCCAAACTACCCTTACGTAGCGGCTTCTACACAGTCAAAATTTACCCGACTCTGGTCTAGAGCACAGTTCACCATTCGGGCGGTAATCTGTTCGATTCGGAATCCGCTCCAAATTCTTCTGTGGTTTCCTTATTGAATCATTTGGAAAAACATTGGACCTATAATATTCCACAGTTAATCTTCCAATTTTCTTTTTCTGTCTTCATTTCGTCTAACTAATCTGCATCTTCTGAATCACAGCGACCTCCCTCTCCCAATATTTCTAGTGTAGGGCAGAGGAATTGTAATATTCCACAGCTAATCTTCCAATTTTATTTTCCTGTTTTCATTTCGTCTAACTCATCTGTACCTCCCAAATCACAATGACCTCCCCCTCCCATTATTCCTAGTGTAGGGCGGAGGAATTGTAATATTCCACAGCTAATCTTCCAATTTTATTTTCCTGTTTTCATTTCGTCTAACTCATCTGTACCTCCCAAATCACAATGACCTCCCCCTCCCATTATTCCTAGTGTAGGGCGGAGGAATTGTAATATTCCACAGCTAATCTTCCAATTTTATTTTTCTGTCTTCATTTCGTCTAACTCATTTGTACCTCCCGAATCACAATGACCTCCCCCTCCCATTATTCCTAGTGTAGGGCGGAGGAATTGTAATATTCCACAGCTAATCTTCCAATTTTATTTTCCTGTTTTCATTTCGTCTAACTCATCTGTACCTCCCAAATCACAATGACCTCCCCCTCCCATTATTCCTAGTGTAGGGCGGAGGAATTGTAATATTCCACAGCTAATCTTCCAATTTTATTTTCCTGTTTTCATTTCGTCTAACTCATCTGTACCTCCCAAATCACAATGACCTCCCCCTCCCATTATTCCTAGTGTAGGGCGGAGGAATTGTAATATTCCACAGCTAATCTTCCAATTTTATTTTCCTGTTTTCATTTCGTCTAACTCATCTGTACCTCCCAAATCACAATGACC